CACGCACGCACGCACGCACACCCACACTGCCGCACGCGCACACCCACACGCGCGCGGGCGCGCGCACACACACACACACTGCACACTTTCCTTCCCCGGTGAGTTTTGTTCATGTAAATGAACATGAATGATGCACATACAACATAACAAGAGGGAATGCAATCATCATTTACACTTCCATGTTTTATCATTTGCGGCAGCACAGGATTAACAAAAAAACATGTTTGCTAAATAAATTATGGAACTTGTTTGATTTTCTTTAAATTCCATTAAATTCTTTGTGGTCAGTCATTAAAATTGTTTCCACAAAGTCTTAAAAATCAGTAAAGGGATAACTTAATAGCCTGAGGAGCTTATCATTTAATTTTCATCAAAACAAGCTGCTTTTGTTTTTGTTGGCTTGTTGTCACCAGGAGGAACAATTAATATGAGATAAAAAAAATTAAAAAAATCCAGATACCTGCATGTGCTTCAGCTTGTGATCTGTCGCGCTGTACCTTTCACACTCCTCCATCCCTCTCCGGAGGAAGGCGTTCACAACAAAACTGTCTCCTGAGACATGAAGAAAACATGTCGATCAGCAGCTATAAATCTCAACCTGTACTTCATAAGAATATCATCATTAATGAATCTTCATTATATTAAAATGATCTATCCTCACCTTCAGGGTTTTCTCTGCGCTTACACGCTTTAGATCCCGTCACCAGAAACAGGGATGCAAAACAGACAAGCGTTAGTTTTTGTAACATTGTAAAGGAAATACTTCAAAATGTTGATGTTCAGTGCTTTCAGCTGCATCGTCTCTTACCATGTTTTGACTGAAGTTTGCCCATTCTTAAGTCCCTCTTCCCTGGATCAATAAAGGTACTCCGAAATCCGCCAAGGATAAAACAGTCAGTGACTCAACATGGTCACATTGTGTTTGTTTTGCAAGAAGAAAACTCCAACTTCATCCAAAGGCGGGTGATTAAATCGCCTCTTCATTGAAGCATCAGTTGTCTCTGTGCAGAAACGAGATAAGTGTGTAAATCGGTCAGTGGGAGACGAGGCGCGCTCACTGTCTGTCTCCAGACTTCACTTAAGTCCAACTGAATGTGGAGGCGCTTTGACCGCAGCAGAGAATGAGGCGCGAGCGTCAAGTCGCGTGAAACAGGTAGGGTACATCCGCCTCAGGCTTTAAAAAATAAAACACTTAATTGATTAAAGGGTTGCAAGCAGATTATGAGCAGTAAAACATTAAGTCAAATGTGGGGAGAGATGTGTAAAATATTTGCGGAATAAATTGAATTGGGAATTTTCCCCAGCCTGTTGGCTACAGGAGAGCACTCCACCTTTTGTTGGTGGCCACTTCGGTCTGGTAAGTCCCCTGATATCAAGTTATGGTTTTGTGAAGGTTTAGTATGTATATTTTTGTATTTACATCAACCAAACATAGCCTGAATAAAAATCAGTCAGTGAGCACCAGCCTTTTTTCCCCTTTCATGTTTGTTGTCCTTGATCTCAGAAGTACCTAATTCAGATGCACAAAGCAATAATAAATATCATTTGATATAGAAATACATTTATTTTTTAATTTTTATTTGATTTGCAACCAATTTTGTGTGAACCAACTTAGTCTTTTATTCTAACCAAATGTAATGGAACCACTGAGTAGAATATTTCAATTATATTTATCTATTGTACATTATTGTTCCTGTACACCTAACTATGCTTTCATTTTTTTTTCCAAATCAACTACTATTTTGAAAATCCCATTCATTTGTGTTCCGGTTTCATTCAGGTTTTGTTCAGTACTGAACACTGGTTTGGCTCCTCGTGTGTTGTTGAACGTAAAACCGCGTCCTCTGTTGGTGTAATTTTCAACTCCATTCATGGTTTTTAAAGCAGATTTACAGTTATAACGAGAACACTTATTACTATTTTATGAACTCATTTCATTATTTTTATTAATGTCATTGGTTTGAAGGCATAGTTTATATCTCAGGTTTTTCTCTCATTCAAACTCGTCAAAACACCAAAGGTAAATTTTACCACAGAAGTCATACACCAGTTAATCAAATCTATCTCCACATAGGTCTATGCTCATACATAAACTAGATTAAGAGTAACATCATTTATGTTGCGACGTTTCAATGCAAATGACATTTTTGGTTTGTTAAAAAAAAGTGAGTTTCCACAACATTTCTTGTGTGTAGAGAAACACAAAAGGTACAATTAATAACAACATTATTATAACGTGACTGACTTTGCTCCTGTCTGTACACAGAAATTTCCATTATTTGTTTTTGGTATGTGCACAACAGATGTTAAAGATAAACCATTTGTTTATGAAAGAGAACCAGGAAGAACATGCTGTACTTCAACCTACCAGACATCAAAAGCTCTTCAGCAGTTTTATAGCTTGTTTCCTTTGGCAGGGCGTTAAAACAAGGCCCGGCTGCAGAACACATGCCAGGAGTTATGAATATTCATTTACTTAGGCAACCTTTTGCTTAGTATGAAAACATGAATGTGATGTTAGTGTTTTGTAAATATTCCACTCCTGTGCAGACTGTATTCAAAACTAGAAGAGCTGTTACTTTGATCTTTGCACGTTATTGAGACATAAACTGTTATTACACGCTTGGTGTCAATCGCTCACTCATTCTCTCACTGCTCCAAAGTGCTGCTGTCATATAAGAAATTACAGCCCATGCATGCAGCCCATCTTTATACTTTATTACCTGAACAGTGGAGCTCTTCCTGGAAGAACATAAAAGATTTTTCCCCCTCTGTGTTTCTGGAAGAACATCTCATTTTCTCTGAGAATGGTACTGTATCATAGTGTCCCAGTTTCACTGTCATACCTTGATTAATGTGGAGCGTAGCTAGAAAGCTCTTCCTGTCAATTTGTCTGCCATTTGACTCCTCACAGACACAAGACTCTCAGATCACCGTCTATGGCTGACAGAACGAGCTGACATTTGCATTGCTCATTGATGGCAGCCTTCTTTGATCCTGCTCACCGTGCCTAATTATCACCACTTCTTTATGTAGCCTGCCTCTCAGGATTCTGCCTCTTTACAAGGTATCTCTCCCTTATCCTCTTTCTAACATCCCTCTTAAATGGATGACAAACATATGGGGACACAGAAATACCTGAACTCAAGCAGAAATAACTTTTCAGTTTCTGACAGGTTAGTTTAGACTGGGAACAGAGAGTTGTTTTTTAAGATCGATGTTCACTTGGATAAAAGTCCTGGTTTATCATCAAAGGCTGTCATGTAGATGAAGAATTGAGAAGCCCTGACAAGCTTCACTTTAATGGGCTCTTGTTATGTATTAGTACAGAGGTGGTGGATCATTATACTGGCAGAGGTGCAGGATCTTCCTAAATTTGTGTCAATCAATCCAGCATCACACAAAAAAACGACAGCATAAACCATATCCTCTTTAAAACTTAAATGAGTGTTAGTTTCCATGGTTTTTGGTTGCGGCTGTGTTCAGTTTCCTCTTAGCGTACCTATAAGTATGTGTGTAAGTTAATCCCCTCCCTATGTGAATCACCATTGGCACATGCATTCATATTCCATTGCTTTCAGCCATGTACCTGAACAACGGTTGAGAGGATAAACATCAGACTGTTTGTTTTGTTTGGAGTTTTCTGACATTTTCAAACAGCTTGAAACAGTGATAAAACCCTGTAACAATAAGGCTTTTGACTTTTCTTCCTTCACCATCTTGATTGCCTTTTAACAGCTGCCTGGTTTTGGACCAACTACAGTCAAAAGAAAACGGCCTCCAGACAGAGCAATTATGGTTTTATTCACAATGCCCGTTCCTACAAATTTCCTTTTCTCTATCTGCCTTCTTTCTCTCCACTTTGTGATCAGTGATCACATTAGAGAAAAGAAGAACTTCCTCTTGTGATTCATCTCACATAAAAACTCCATTGACAAATGATAATTGAGGACGCCAAACAATTAGGTGTAAAAGATACTGTGGCATTAAAGGGATAATTCACACAAACAACAATTAAGTTTCCTCAATGAAATGGGAGCTTTATGTGCGAGGGGAAATCCATTCTGGGTTTTTTGTGAAACCCAGTACTTAAAAAAAAATTGATAAGAGTAAAAAGAGTATAAATCTTTTGTTTGATCTTAACGACAGACTGTTGCCAGTAAAATCAAATCCAACCAAATTTCATGTGAAAATGCGCTCAATAAAGCACCAGACAGGCCATCTTAAAGGTGACAGTGATATGATTGAGTAGGCATAAGGGCGTGTGAAGAAAGATGAACTCAATGTTTGCTTTCCTTTCACATTCAGGAACAGCCGACAGAATCCACCTTTGAAGTGGTGGAGTGAAAAAGCTGTTGCCCAACAACAAACAAAGGGCACATTGTCTGAACCCGGCAGCTGACATGCAAAGCAGCAGAGCATTCACAGAATGCAAAACATGTTCATACAAACAATGGAGCCACTGATCTGTTCATGTAAACTGTGCGTATGACTGATACACTTCATAACCAAATCATCCTTCAACAGTTGTTGTTTTAAGGGCAAAACAACGTCCAAACACACACTGTCAGACATAACCATGCATCGCTTTAAATCCACATGCTATGGTGTTAGCTGTTTGCTGCAAAAGTTCCTTTTACGCTTCCAGATTTGCTCACTTACATTTTATATTTGTGGAGGTTTCTGGTTTTACTCAGCGAGATTTAGATAACATTATTATCCTGTTACATGAGACAAGCTCAAGGTCAAGTGCAATCTGGTTTTATTGCTGTGGGCATTTTCCCTTATTGCCCTTGCTGTGATTATCATGTATCTCATAAAATACACTATATAAAATCAGTCTTTCCATGTGTAAAACTGTATGACAGCGTCTGTGCGCCACCAAGTGGTGGCCTAAAGGCTTTGCTAAAAATCTGCAAAATGCATCTGCTTCAAAAGACTCAAGTATAAACAATATTGTTTATTACAAATTTATATACAAAATAAAGTTGTAATGAGCACATGAACCCCGAGTTTAAAGAGGATTGGTTGTTAGCATAAATATAGAACCGACAATGAAATAAACAAACATTTTCTTTGAACTAATGAATTAAGAGAAATGGCCCTTTTTAAAAAAAACAAAAAAAAAACATGAACAGAGTACAAAAACATGCATGTTAAGGAGACAGTTCAAATTTTTTGACATAAGATGGTGTGCTGTACATTAGCTCGTTCTATAGACACGTGGAGATATCTCTGCGAGCCTGCAGCCTTTCAGACAGAAATAAGCAGTTGCTATGGAGGCAGGTTAATGGAAAAAAGAAAAAACTTTAATCAACAACAAAGGACTCAAAAATTTTAACCTTCCACAACAAATTGCATTTGCCTTTCTGTATTTCTGATGTTTCACTGTCCACCATTACGGAACTGCTTTGTCCTTTGTGTGTCAAGCTGCCATTTCAATGGGATATCTCCAAAAAAAAAAAAAAAAAAAACTATCCACAGACTGAGCTAATGTCTGTGCACCAATGTCACTATGAAGAAACTAATTAATGCCAATAAATATCCAAACTATCCCTTTAACATGGGAACCAAAAACAAGATGGCACTATTGAGGTTAAAGCTGCATGTTACATAAAAATATCAAACACTTTAAAGATGAGAAAAGAGTAAACAGTTAATAGCACATAGAAAATTCAAGCATCAGGTACACCAAGTTACCTTTACCGAAACTGACATGGACTTGGTCTTGTAAGGTAGTAGCACCAACAATATTACCTGAATAAAGACTTTGATATTATAGATAGCACTTGTTAAAACAATGTTACTTGCCAATAATATATTTAACGTAGTGCAGCCAAATTAATTCATTATGCTTTATAAAAAAGATGTAAGGGTTGTAGTTTTCCAAACTACAAACAAACAGGGACTGAGAGCTCATGAACAATCATGCGTCAGCCTTTGGGCTTTGTAATAAGTTCAGACACCGTTGACCAGGTTAGCTTTTTCCTCCTTCTGTTTATCCACCGCTTGGTCCATAGCCTCCAGAAACCTCTCAAGTGTCACTGTCGGTGACTGCAGGCAAACAAACTACATTAAAAAACAATATGACTTTTTTTTTTACCTACACTCTGTCGAACAAAATCAAATACTTACCTTCACAAACAGTGCATGCGCTAGAAATGGTAACTTCCTGAGTGCTCTTCCACTCAAACCTTTGCTTTTCCTAGAAATGAAAAGAAAAATAAAACAGTAGCCTCTGGCTGTTTCAGTTCTCACTGACGTTCGATGTAATGAGCACAACACAGACGGTGTGATTTGGCTGCTATTGCATTTTGCGAGGCTGTACTCACAGAGCGATGTTCCTCAGGTTCAGACTGTGTTCAGACACCTCACTCTTAGCAAACCCCATTGTCTTGAGCTCAAACATGGTAAACAGCTGCTGCCGGGGGTAGATGATCTGGCACTGTACATAACCACAAATCATGAAGCAAAGACACATCAGAAATTGAAATGTGCCAACTCACCCTTTTGAATTAAAAGTTTTGCTTCTACACTGTTGTTGTTTATGACTGTGCTCTTACATTGTTGTTGCTTTGTTTTCTGAAATTTTGATTTCTATTTTGTTAATGTTTTTTGACAACTGGAATAAACTAGTATACGATTCAATACACACACACACACACACACACACACACACACACACACACACACACACACACACTTTGCATTATAAGTAATGAATACTTGCTAATAATGAGAAATGTTGCCAGATTGTTTGGTCACCTTCATCAGCTCCTCGAGGCAGGAGAGGTAGATGTTGTAGATGCCCTTCTCAGACGGGGGTCCAATGTACTGCTTGATGTCAGCTCTGTCCACAAATGCCAAGTCAATCTTTTCCGTCACATTGGAGGTCGTCAGGATCACAACGTTTGAATGTCTGAAATATGAGCCCAAAAGTCAACACAAAACAAACCTGTGTGAGCAGGACAGATGGTAGGATTTTTACAGTGCAAATAGTAATCAAGAGTAATGGCAAGAATGCTAAATTAAGGCTTCTAGTCTCACGAGTTCCAGGAATGATATCTAAATATTATATGTGTGTGTGTGTGTGTGTGTGTGTGTGTGTGTGTGTGTGTGTGTGTGTGTGTGTGTGTGTGTGTATGTATATATATATATTTAAAAATTGCATATACTTTGCTTTCTGACCGTTTGATCTGATCCAGTTGAGTGAGAACAGAGTTGACCACTCGAATGGCGTCAGAAGGCTCTGTTCCCGCCTGGCAGGCATTTCTAGCTGCTGTCAGACTCTCCACCTATTCACAGTAAAATAGGTTCACAAAATGAGCAGCCCGAGTGTACAGCAGAAACACTCCCGAACAAGGAATAAGTCAAGATTCTGTTCTAGTGAATGTGGAAGCAAATAAACATGCACTAACTAGATTCATTTCTGGGGCTCAGACTAGACTAATGCCAATTTCAAAATAGTTTCCAACAAGTGGATTTTTACCTCGTCAATCAGAACAAACACAAGAGCGTCTTTGTCATCAATCAGCTGTTGGATCTTTTGAAACATCTTCGTGACCAGCTTGCCACTCTGTAACAAAGAGGCATTATTAGCTACCAAAATATTATCAGTTTAATCTAGACGATCCTCCAATTAAACATATAATCATAAAGAGAAGAGCCCAGGTGTACCTCTGAGAACCACTTTGAGAACAAGCTGTGGCTGTTAATCTCAACAAATTGGCCATAAGAATACCTGCAGGGAGAGGAGTGTACGGTGAAATGAAAAGAGCAGGAGTTATTTACTGCTGAAGCGGTTTCACTAAAATGAGGATTGCCTTACCGACTCGACAGTCTGATTGACAGCTTCTGGGCAAGAGCTTTGCACAGTGACGTTTTCCCTGTGCCCGGGGGTCCTGAGTGTGGCCAAACACAAAGTGATAAATCAGTTATTTTACGTCACGACCTCAATCAATAAAAATAAATCACTGTTACTAGTTGTTTACCATGAAGCAGCACAACACGGTTCCATGAAATCAGGTTGCTGTCGACATTTTTGTCTGAGAAGTAAATTGTGGTTGTGACATAATCCAGGAGCTGAAAGAAAATGTTTAGCAGTATGAGAAAGTTATGTAATCATTTTCAGCTGCTATTATGTATTTTTTTTTTACCTGGCTTTTGACTCCACTCTCATATACCAGACTCTCCCAAATCCCATGGAATTCAGCTGTTAAAAAACAAGACATCAAGTCATTATATAAGATCAAACTTTAATTAGCCAATGGTTAAGAGGGTCTTTCAGGCGAATCTGAAATGAAAATACAACAAATATACAAACAGGATGTTTACCAAGCTGATAGATACAAATCAAAAGAATTAAGATAAAGAAAAAATGACTAGCTTATCATTATTATTGTAACTTTGCCTTTACATTAATGCTTCACCCTGCCTTCAATTATTTTTCGATGATATAATACTCAAATCTTGTAAGTTTAAAGGGTGCTCCTGAAACAATTCTAGTTTTCTCAACAGAGCAAGGAGGCTTTGGTCAGGTTGGACACAGATTACAAAAGATTCTGAATGAATTCTAAGTTTTCACAGTAGAATAGAGAAAGAAAACTTTCGCAGACACCACTCAAACTCATTCACACTGGTCCTGCAACATTATCCATGTTTCAAGTGTCCATTCATATTCTTAATATGTCCCAAACACTTTACCACAGGCTCCTGCTTGCAAGCTCCATGCGCTTGTGCATGTGTACTTATTTGAGTAAATATATGACACAATTGTTTGTCTCTCTTCTCAGTGAAGAACTACAAAGTTTTTTACAGCCACCTTTTGAAGACTACAGGGAGCATCAGTTGCTGCCCTCCAATCATTTTCTCCCTCTAAAGTTTGCTTTTGTATTTTTTTGATTCAGCTGCACATTGCTGGAAGGTGGAAGGACAGTCCAATTTCACTAACATGGAAAGTGTTTCATACTCAAATACATTGTGGGATGAGTGTCACATTTAGTCATACTGAATATTATTCTGTATGTCTATGATGTCTATGATAACCCACTGGTTTACACTGTAGAACTCTTTCTGTATTAAATCTTACCTCACTGCCTGACTTCAACTGGAAATACATCAAACTAAGACAGCAAGATCAACATGCTGTTCTTTTCAGTGCACTATCCTCCACAATGCTCATTGTTACCTGCTGGCAACAACCAGTGATTTGCTGCTGAAAGCTCCTCATCATCTTCCAAACTGAGCGTGCTGGGTCCATCCTCATTCAGAGTGAAGATGTGAACGGAGACGGAGCAGCTTTTCAAATCAAGGGGCTGAGTGGGGAAAAAATGAATAAACAAGTGCAAAGCATCATTACCTCTTTATGAAAAAACACAGTTATACATGATTAAAAATATTGACCGAAAAAAAACCAACAGACCTGTGTTACCATTTCCTCTAGATCAACTATAGCAACAGACTGCACATGATTTTGGAGAAAGTCTTCATCAAACTCTGTCCATCTGTAGTTTCCAAAAACCATGCTGTGGCGATTCAGCAGAGCCAGAACATGCATCCTCACCTCAGACAGTTTAGCTGTGCTGAAACATGGACAAGAGCAGAAACATACATTGTATGAGAATGTATGGCTGTAATTATGTGATTTCTTTAGCATGAATATACCAATATTCTGAGGTACAGTATGTAACTAGAAAAAATAACTTCTATTCAGTATAAATGTCCAATAACCCAAACGTGTTTTCTTACTACATATACAGCATATTAGTGAATCTCAATCTACCTGACTGTTCCTCCCATGAAGCTTGTAGTCAGCTAAACTGAATGTGTGCCTATGTGTGTCTTCTCTGTATTTGTGGAAGCATCTGTGGCTTGATCTGGACTCATGGCTGGATTTTTGCTCCTTGAGGGGCCCTGAAGCAAGCTGCTTTTGTTGGGCTCCTATCAACCCCCATTATATATGACAGCTTCATCATTTCTACAGGCACCAAGACACCAAACAATACTCCAAAGCTGATATAATTAGCTGATCAGTCAACTAGTTGTTTGAGAGAAAATTTACTGTAACCATTTAGATAACAGGTGAAGACTTTAAGTCATTTTTAAGCATGTTATATGTTGGGCTTCAGGGAATAGTGATGGGCCTTTTTCAACTATTTTTTGACATTTTATTTACAGCTCAAGTTATTAAAGAAACTAATTTTCAGTTGCAGCCTTACAGTTGTACTGTGATGGCTAAATAACAGACACAAATTATTCAGGTAAGGTAACCCACCTGTGAGATTTAACATGGACCTCCACGTTGATGTTTTCTTTCTGGTTTCCCACCTCCATTCTGTCACCCTCCATTCCAGTAAAACTGTGGACACCAGAGCAACATTTACAGCTTTGACAGCAGCACAGGACAGTGTCGTGTGTGTTCGGCAGGTAGGTGTTCAGTCTTGTACTCAACGAAGAAATTTGCTCAACGCAAAAACCTCTTTTGCATTTCGTTAGCAGAGAAATTTGGCGACGTTTGATGTTGTAGCTAGCTAACATAGCTGGTTAATGTTGACGTCCGCCAAAGCAGTTCCCTACATTACTAAAAATTGAAACCATACTTAACTTCAACGTTGTCGAGCGAATTAATTGCATCAACCAAAGTTGTGATACTCACGAAACTAGCGTCGGTCCTCAATGTTGTCAGAAAGCCGATAGTTTGTTGAATTCAGCGCGCTGAGTCGTTACACCGGACATACATCGTTTGTGTCGGGAAATCACATCCGGCTGGCGTTAGCTTTCTTGTTGCAAAGATTTGTTACAGCCAGAGCGACGACAGCGACCTGCATCGACATTATTGGAATAAACACAAGACCTCGGATATAAATACGGAGAAATGGGGAAAAAACACAAGAAACACAAGCCGGAGTGGAGAACAGTTGATGGTACCTGAATGCACCGTTTACCATTTGTTTTTTTTCCACCGCTTTTGTTCCAGCTAGCTTTGTTGTTGTTAGCTATCTTAGCCTAGCCTGTTGGTATATGGTTCTGCTGAAATCCTAATAAGTTAATAAGTAGTTTATTATAATTTAATATATACAATACATTTTTTTGTTTATTTTCTGGTTGTGCTAGTAAGTTAGTGTTGGTGAAGGCAGCTGGTTAGTAAAGTTATATCTGATTGTCTTATTTGTATCATCATTTTGACATTTAAATTTAATTTGGTGTGTAACTAATCACATAATTAGTCAACAAAAAGTTAAAAGGTCAAGAATTGTGTCAAAGTGTTTAAATAACATGAAATGTATCAATGAATAACATTTATCAGTCAAAAAAATCACAACCAAACACAAACATGTCCTATGGGATTACTTTCAACAAAACAGCACAGAAGAACACAACCCATTCACACAACATGAAGTAGAAGATTTTCTACAGACAGAGAAGCTACAGCCTTAAGTCTCTTCTTACAATTTCTGATATAACACAAAACATACAATTCTGCTACCATACCAATGTCTATGTCATCCCACATGCACCTACTCCTTCCACAACTTTTTACCTTACACCATGATTCCTGCCACTAACTGTGGCCTTCATCTCCTTTGTTTTGATTGCAGACTATGAGGACAAGGCTCTTGAGAAGCCCCTAAAGCTTGTGCTCAAAGTTGGAGGAAGTGAGGTGACAGAGCTCTCCGGTTCGGGCCATGACTCCAGCTACTATGACGACAGATCGGACCACGAGCGAGAACGCCACAAAGAGAAAAAGAAGAAGAAAAAGAAGAAATCTGAAAAGGATAAAGACAAGTATGTGGACGATGAGGAGAGACGACGGCGAAAGGTTAGTGGGCAGAAGAACATTTATCTGCCTGATAACTGCATTGTTTGGTGCTATAAGTTAAAAAAGATCTTTCATCATACAGGAGGAGAAAAGGAAGAAGAGAGAACGAGAGCAGAATGAATCAGAGGCAGCAGCTGCGACTTCTGCCAGTGTTGGTGTGCCGGTTGAACCTTTCACGTTGTCAAAAAGTATAAGCATCGGATTAGAGGTGAGAAATTTAATCCTGAAAATATCACCATTAAATTCTTATTGAGTACTTTGACAAATCACCCGCATCTTGTGTGTTTCTTGTCAGCCTGAAGAGAAGAAAAAAAAGAAAGAGAGGTTTGAGATAGAGTCTGAAGTGGAGGAGTTTCAGCCCAGTGTGAAGGTGGAAGTAGAGCAGCAAGGAGACAGACCAGTCAGAGCATGCAGGACACAACAAGGTAAAACAGCCTGTATACTGGCACATCAGATTCCTCTTGTAGGCGATTTCAGCTATTATTCAGTAGTAGATGTCTTTATAAATAGTTGCATATTTATGCTTGTCTACTGCAGAGAATGAGTCCACTCCTCGTCAACAATTGCTGGAGCACTTCTTACGTCAGCTGCAAAGGTGAGGAATTCACTCTGATTTCTGCATCCACTTTTGTCATTGCCCCTCTGTCCTTTTAATGCCACAGAATTGCTCCTGAAGTGTTTTAACTAGTTACAATTCATATAGAAGCACAAAGACCCCTTCCAAGTCTGACCACTCTGATAATAAACTTTTTAAAGATGTCACAGAGTCTGAGAGGATTGAGATCCTAAAAAAACAACTTGATGTCCTGACACCTTCCCCTAAAAATGATTTGGCGGAACCCCATTTCCTCTAACACTGACACTATCGACACTATCGAGCATATGTACACAAGAAATATCAGAAGTGAATGTGCATATCCCTGTGAAGTTTACTCAGCACAATCATACTGTCCACTTTGGACTTTCTTGAAAACTCTTGAACTTTTTGTTATACCACTTTCAGGTTAAAATGTCATATTTGCATGCAACATATCCCTTGATCCGGTTGGTAGAGTGACATGAAATTAGCTGAGTATATACCTTCGGAGGCAAACCTCTTTCATTTTCATAACATTCCCTCACTCCCCAAAAGAGCAAATTTTGCTTTTGTTGTTTGTGGGCCTTTGGTATACAGTCTATTTGACACTATTCAAATATGGACAGTAAGTCCTGCTGTGGCTGGAAACTTTGCAGATGTATCAACCACAGATTGAAAAATATGAAATTAGAAAAAGGCCATATTATGATTTGGTCTGGACATCACGTCACAGCATGAGCAAGATATATTCATATTGATCATATTGACCTGACAGATAACGAACTCTTCCACATGAACAGACAAGACTAAACAATTGTAAAGGTTGCGTCTGGACTGAATAACACTGACAGTGCATCACTTGTCTTTCCAGGAAAGACCCCCATGGATTCTTCTCATTTCCAGTAACAGATGCGATTGCTCCTGGTTACTCAATGATCATCAAACATCCAATGGATTTCAGCACCATGAAAGACAAGATTAGAAACAACGAGTACAACACGGTAACAGAATTCAAGGTGAGGGTAGTTTTCAACATGTTCTCATCTTCAAATTGACAGCTGGGATGGTGAATATTTCTTTTGAGAGTGTCATCAAGTTTAACATAGCAGTGTTTGTAAACAACATTTGTCCTCATACCTGTTTGAAAACTTTTTGGCCTTCAGGCGGACTTTAAACTGATGTGTGACAATGCAATGGTGTACAACCGACCAGAGACGGTCTACTATAAGGCTGCCAAGAAACTGCTGCATACAGGATTCAAGATGATGAGCAAGGTAATGTAATGATATGGATGAAAAACAAAAATCAGAAAAATATATATAATATTATAACCTTTATTTTCCCTTTGCAACTTCATTGTAACAATCAGCAATTTCCACAGAATTAGATTCTGTTTGTTGCGTTAGCTGAGGGCGGCTGTGTATAAGGCACTCCACTGCAAATATTTTGCCAAGTACTTTGTGACAAATAAATAACTGAACAATATGTACAACCTCAAGGAGGGGCTGAGTGAATCAATGCACTGGGTGCAGTTCTACAGTGAAGTAAGATTTTACCCAAATGAAATAGTGAAAAAAAAACCCATAGAAAATCAATATGTGGTGGTCAATGTTGATATTGTGGCGGCCCGCCACAAATAAATCAATGTATGGGTAACACTGTCAGCAACTACTTCCCACTGTCCCTCACATTCATTTCCATTTAAGCAGATTAAGTGTTGCTCCTTTTTTCTTCTGCTCTGTGTATAGGAGCGGTTATTGGCTCTGAAGCGCAGCATGTCTTTCATGCAAGACATGGATTTCACCCAGCAGGCAGCCATTTTGGGAGATGAAGATCTTACAGCTGATGTAACTCCTCCAGAGATAATCCCCATCCCAGTGGAATCGGCAAAGAAGTCCAGGAAACAACCAGTCAAAGACATGAAGGAAGTCATCAGGTATTCCTTATTTGTAACCTCTAAATTAAATGTGTTTTTTTTTTGTATACACCCAAGGGCTGAACTGTAGTTGAAAAGCTCCCTGTCAGTATAATAATCCAGTAACACTATCACATCTGTTATCTCAGTTACCTGTATGAACCAGAGGGAAATGCTTGCAGTTTGACTGACAGTACAGCAGAGGAGCATGTCCTGGCACTGGTTGAACACTCTGCAGATGAAGCTCGGGATCGCATCAGCCGATACATGCCGAACTCCAAGGTCTTCTTTACTTATTGTGTATAAATTTCCATTCATACATTATTTCTACCAGCTATGGGTGTATGTTATGACATAAATGACTAAGTGATAGTAAGACTTCCACACTCGGATATGACAGGGAGTAATTTTCCAAATTGCGACTTGATGGAAGTATATTGTTTCTCTTGTCTCTGTTTCCAGATGGGTCACTTGCGTAAAGAATCAGATGGTTCTCTCATATATACTGTTGTAAATCAGCTTGATCCTGATGCTGAAGGTTTGCTATCACCGCACTGCTATCTTTCAAAGCCCAACGTTCTCACAAGATCTGAACTATGTTTGCAACATATTTAATATTTATGTAAGAAGCATTTTTTTTCTTCTTTTTTTTTGCAGAAGAGGAGACCCATAAAGTGGACCTGAGTTCTCTGTCAAATAAGCTTCTGCCTGGATTAACAACGTTGGGTTTCAAAGATGACAGGAGACACAAAGGTATGCCATTAAGTGCACTTTTGTTGTTTTAATTCACATTGCTCACTTCAATCATCTCTTTCAATTAACAACAGTAAAAACTGCCACAAAAGCCTATGGCTTTGATTTATTAATTGATTCTGTTTTGTCTGTGTAGTGACCTTCCTGAGCAGCGCCTACAACACCCAGAGCCTTCAGAAGAACTCCGTCTTTCCAGACCTGCTGCCCGATGAGGTGGACATGCTCTATTCAGCCTATGGAGACGACACAGGGGTACAGTGTGCGTTGAGGTAAGGGATTTTTTTTGTCTCAGGTAAAACTTATCTTTATCTCTTTGTCTTTCATTTCAGCTTGTAATTTCTGTATCTCTCGCTCTTTTTTATCACTCTTTAAGTATACAGGAGTTTGTCAAGGGCTGTGGAAGTGTCACCAAGCGCTGGGTCGATGGTCTTCTGGACAAGATGACCGCAGGCGATCACATTAAAGCGGTCAATCAGATTCGACAGGTATATGATATGTACTTACACTTTATATGAATGAGATTTATCCATCACCCGCTCCCAGTGAGGTTGTGTTGACAATGCGATGCAGGTCTGTGTAAATGATACTCATTTTTACGTTTCAGAAAAGAAACATGATGCTGAAACCTGATGAAACCAAGTCCAATATTTGTGACATACAGGTATGCTATAGCTTAGAAAAGACGATACTGTACTTAAGCAGTTTTTGTAAAATCATGTTGTCCTTGGCTGCTCTCGCTTGACTATCTGACTCACGCTGTGTGTTTTCCTGCAGATGGCAGATAGCACTGGCCTGGGGGAGAGCGGCTCAGTCCTGGATTTCATGTCAATGAAGAACTATCCTGATATGTCTCTGGATATTTCCATGCTTAACTCACTAGGTGATTATCTTCTATCAACACCCTGGCTGCATTTACATGTACACCAGTAATCCAGTCATAACACACTTAAGCTAGCAATGCAATAGTGCTAATAGCTGCAGTAAGCATAAGGGCAGTTACACATTTGGCTATTAAAGGGCAATAAAGTGCAAAATAGCCATGTAAACACCTTAATCCCATCAAAACCCTCAAGTTCTTACTATATATTTTTCTGGGACAGTATCTTTGTAATGCTCTACTATCCTGAAGCTAGTATAAACAGAACCGCTCAAAACACAATTGTATCACAACTATGTTATGATGCCACTCTGGTGCACCACAGTGGCTGTTTTGTGGCTGTGGCAAATCTTACTTATATACCATTAGAGTTAATAGTGTGCACATTTCCCCTCCTTCCCAGTGTGGTTTTACTTCCTTTTATTCAATTAATTTTCTACAGTGATCGTACCTTCCCTCTTTCTTGATCAGGTAAAACAGTGAAAAAAGAGCCGGGGAATGAGGAGGGCCAGCAGCATTTTGACGATGCAGACAAACTCCTGCAGGAGTTCCAGGAGGCTCAGGTCGACAGAGTTGGCTCCAGGCCCTCGTCCAACCTGTCCTCTCTCTCTAATGCCTCAGAGAGGGACCAGCACCACCTAGGTATATAAGCAAGACTAAGAAATACTGCTAATACTTTTAAGTTACAATTTTACAGTTTTGTTGTATTAAACATCATATTATTGTGCAACAACATAAGTCCCCATGTTTTCTTTTATCCACAGGGAGCCCATCACACCTGGGTGTTGGGGACCAGTCGGAAATGGTTCATGATCCCTACGAGTTCCTGCAATCTCCGGAGCAAGAGAGCACAGCCAACAGCTGACCACACACATGCCGTTTTGCTATGCTGGTGTTAACAGCGCTGTCTACTCAGTTGGACTGTTTAAACACTGTGCAGACAGCAGGAGCCTCTGACCTGTTTTAAAGACTGATCATGATTGTACAGACTGTTTGTAGTGTAATTGTATGGTTTTGTATAAGTGCAACACTTGAAAAATAAATGCTTGCACCTGTATTTATAAATGTGTGTTGTTCAGTAAGAAAAACTATTATCAGCTGCATTGTGTTCACTGTGGGAGCAGCTCAAAATGCAGGATCTGTAATCAGTAATTTCTGATTATTGTAAAATGTTACAATGTGGGAAGACACAACGGGGAAGTGAAAATAAAACCGAAATATAGCTCTAGATGATAAAATCGAGGATGAAGGCCAACCATAAAAGAGAGCGTTTGAAAGCAGAAGTGTTATGTGGCCTGTGTTTGCAGTTCCCTCTTGCTCTCACGTTAACAGAGCATCGGTTATTTTTAAGGATCTTATATTCTCCAGGGTTTAAAAGTGTGAAGATGAATTTGCACGGACTGAGTTAGACAGGAAAGCTGTATGCGTTATTTATTCCGTCCGTGAAGGGCCACATTAGAAAGCTGGGAATCTTGAGGGGAGCTGTGGTGCACATGCGCAGCAGGGGGACAGTTTCCATAGCGCTGCTAAGACCCGCTGAGTGAGTTGATTCTTCAACTTATGACTCACGTCCGTCGTTGACAAACACCTAAGGGCACCGAACGATTTTACCCATGTTTACCTCTGCTTTTTTTTAATTGTTTCGCGTTCTCCTGCCGGTCTGTGTTTGTTCATTATGTAAATTGTACTTTTTGAAGCACCTGCCGGCTGACTGACTGATCATGGCATATCAAGCGGTGGAAATCTGCGTTTTTATTTGAACAGGAGCGTGTATATTTATTTATTTTTAACCTAATGGTCGCTGTCTTTCACCGGAAAAAGTAAGTAATTCTTCGTACGATTAAAACTTTGCACACACCTGTTATCCTATAGGTTATTGTTGACTTCATTGTTTATTTTAAACCGTGAACTATTAGTGAATAAAGCAGAAAACCTTTAACTAAGCTTTAGCTCGTAGCTTTAGTTGTTAAGGAAAAGAGAGACAACAAAACCAACAGCCAGAGAGGTTTATTCCCCTTTCTACTCGGCAGCTAGCGTTACATTTCACTCATTGACCTTTATAGTGATAAGCAAAAATCATTATTGATTACTTTTTAACGGTAAAAAGCACTAAAATCGTTTATTTTTTATTTTTTACTGGTTTGTAGTTAATATGGTGAACTGAGCATGTACCAGGCATAAGGCCAAGGGCAAAACATGTGATTACAAGGCTTTTTTCACAGAGGAAGGGATGTTGCACTTTGTGTGACTCTTTTACCCTGAATCAGCTGTTTTCTGTAAGCTATGTGACAATATCATCCTCCTTATTTATATGCAGTGGTGCCTTTGTCATGTCTGAAGATGAATAAGACTTTCAACCACCCTTATCATTGTAGACACTCAGTTGCCAAGTTATTGGTTACACAAAAACCCAGCAATAAATCCCATCCTCATGAAGGTTACCATGTTCTGTTTTTTTGTTGTTGTTTTTTTTGAAACTGGTCAGAAAGTATTTGTTAAGTCTATTTATAGCAATGAAGCTAGACTAAAACTACACCTTGCTAAAACTAATGCAGTCTGAGTCTAGCTCCATGAGAGAGTGAGCAGCCACTATCATTATGCTCAACTCATTTTCCTAACTCATTTCCCCTGCAAATGTGGCCACACACTCTGCTGGAGCTAGACCTAGACCTGCGTTTAGTGATGTGTGGATGGATTTTCAAAGATGCCTGGAGGACACACTCTATAGACTTTGTCTATTGTCTTCTTGTACTGTCTAGATGAACTGCTTCAGTCATAGGCTGAGGCGCACATCTCCTGTGCAGGGCAGCAGCAGCAGGAATGAGCTGGTCACCTCCAAACCTCCCAGGATGAACGGATGGTCGTGGCCGCCTCAAGCCTTCCAAGTGGTCGGCTGGTTGGTGTACAGCTACCTCGCCATAGTCAGCTTTGGCATCTACATCCCTCTTCTGCCTCTGCCGTGGAACCATGTGCTTTATTCTGTATCCTTATCACACAGCTGCAACTTTGCTGTCATTGTAGCTGACTGTTGAGTGTGCAGCAGTGGGTCTTTCAGATTTGAATATGGAGCAACCATTAGCCTCTGCTACAGTTTTGTTTGGACTGCTGGTTATAAGACAAGGATTGTGTTGTGTGTGCTTTCTGTATGGGCTCCAGTCACACCAGACGTGACTCTGTCTCTGCTTCTGTGGTCTCTATTAAGCCCAAAAGACATAATCACTGGTGTTTTTGTCACATGTTGAATGCTGCATGATGTCAACACACTAGTTTCTTTAACTGAAGCTTCACTCAGCTGTAAAGACAGTTGATTTCTTCAGACCCGACTTTATTTCTCACACAAAAGATCCACTTGTGCGCAACAGTTTGCAGCTTCTTGTACATATACTACTCTGCACTTTATTGCACATTTTACACATATTGAAGTATGTTTTTCTAATATTAGTGCTATTTTCCTTAACTCCTCCTGTGTACAGCTTACAGGCATAACATTTATTGTACACTTTTTCACCCATATTGTGGCTGTAACTATAGACCCAGCAGATGCCGGTGTCAGGGCCAAACAGAGCTACTCCAGGCCAATGCCACTTTTTGACCACACAAAGCAACGACATGTCATCCAGGATCTACACTGCTATCTATGTGACGTCAAGGTGTATGTATCCAAAGCTGTAATGTTTTAATGTGATTTCACTAGAAATATAATTTGGCAATTTTGAAAAAGCTGTATTTTAATGGTGTTAATCTTCATTGATCTTCATGTAGTGGCCCCAGAGTAAAACACTGTGGCATTTGCAACAAGTGTGTGGAAGACTTTGATCACCACTGCAAATGGCTGAACACCTGTGTGGGTGGCAGAAACTACTGGTAAGAAGACGTTTTGGATGATTTCTGGATCTGACCATGTGAAATGCTAATGTATAAAAATTAACATCATGGTTTGTGTGCTGCCTTCAGGTACTTCTTTGTGGCACTGTCCTCTGCTACACTAGGTGTCTTCCTTCTCGTCGTTGTCATCTTGTTCATCTTCATTCAGCATTACCTGGACCCAAACAGTCTGCGGACCGCTCCACAGTTTAGTAGTGAGTCACCACAATCTTTAACTTTCTTTATCTGACTGAATAGAAACAGCTTTGCAAATATTTTTGTCATTTGCATCATTACATGAAAACCTGCGTATGTGTGTTTGCACAGGTATACTGGGGAATGGGACCTGGCTGGTGTTTTTACCATTAGCACCCATAAAGACTACTTCGGCTGGTCTCCTTATATTAGCCTTCGTCACAGTCATGCTGAGCATCACCTGCCTGCTGCTGCTCTGTCATCTGCTGGGTTTTCACTTTTACCTATGTGAGTCACAATCTCCAAAGCAGACTTTTCATTTGGCCCATTCTCCCCATTCATTAGTTCTCCTAATTTCCCTGTGGTGTTTGTTCTCCACTTGTCTATACAGTTTATAAAGGCATAAGCACATTTGATTATGTAAAGATGCAGCGTCAAAAAGAAGCTAGAAACCGAGACATTGAGGCAGAAAAAGCTAATGATGCCAAAACCCATAACAAGGCCCCACAGGTGAGACTTGACGTTTGCCTCTCACTGTCAATCACTCGTTCCTGCCACGATCTCAGTAACAATAAAAACATCTTTTCTCTTTTACAGAACCAAGAGAGCTCAATTGACTGTGAGCCGGCGTTATCACAGAGTTCAAGGTAAAAACGGATTCCTTACAGTTCTTGTTAAACTACTGCTAACACTACTTTTGTAGAGAAGGATATTAAAGCTCACTCTGGTTTTCCTGCAGTACCTGCAAATTTGACAATAACGGCCCACTCAGCAGCCGACTTTCAGAGTCCATATGCACAGAGGTAAGCATGTCTTCTTACAGTATATCTCCTTTTGAATGATTTTTACATGCACTAAATAGGTGATATTATATTGCATGGAAATTTTGTTTTTAATCTAGATGGAAAACTTCAAGAAATCAGCAGGAAAGGAGAATAGCTTTAATTATGGCACAGAAAATCCCAAAGAGAACACAGAAAGTATGTATTTGATTGCACTTACACCTTTTTCTTTGTCCATCTCATTTGCAAAGACAGAGGAGCAGATATATTAGAAATGCCTTACAAGATAATACAAACAGTATCTACAGTATTTTTTTTATAAGTAAGTTTATAAATATATATATATATAAGTTTTATAGTATTTATAATGGAACTGTTGTACTGTATTTTAGTGTAGGGGGGTTTCTATTTTCAACTGTGAAAGTGTGCATACAACATCTGTTAGATACAGATTATGGGCCTTTTGTTAGTGAAGCGTATTAATACAGATACAAAAGAAGATTAGCTCATGCAGTTTATAAATAACACTTTTTTTGTTTCCTGTGTGTAAAAGGGGAAATGTCTGTGAGTGACATCAAAAGCTGGAAGCCTGATGCTGATGAAGAGGCTCAGTGGCCCAGCGTGAAGTCTGCTGACAGTGTTCCTGGAGTGCAGGACCCTCTGGGCAGCTCAGTTATGACTCCAGACGATACTTAGCTGTGACTGATGTCTGCATGACGGCGCATCAGTATATGCTGCTTTTCAGGAACTATCAAGAAACTATGCTTCAAGAAACCAAGCCACGAGATCATGGACCTATTGTTGACATGGACAGAGGACATTTTGAGGACACCACCGTTTGATACACAACATGGAAGAGTTTTTTTTGTCTAGTGGGCATTTTGTATGCAGACTGAATAACTGTGGACCTGTTATTGTGTTTTGTTTCGTTTTTATCTACACTATGTGTTTTTATGACAGCTGAATTATTTAAAGCATTGTTTTCCAGCGCCATATCCAGGTTAGCCCCTGTTCAACTACCCTGAGTCAGATACAGGGTGTGTATTTTGGCATCTTCCTGAAAATTTGAAACACGATACTGGAGGTTACTGATCATATTCTAAGCCAGATGGGTATCAAGCACTGTACATCATGTCATTTTATTTCAAGACCAAAGAGACCAAAACCTCACATACTTTGTCTAACTGAACGTAGGGGGAGCAGATGCTAGCTTTTTTAATTAACTGTTGATTTCACAAAGCCAGCAGTGTTTTGTGCCTGTTTTTAGCTAAATTTGATAGTAAAGAATATGAATACACAATATTTGCTCCATTATTTTTTTTCTTCTTTAGCGTATTTGACCACAAAATGGCACAAATGAAACACCATCTCCAGAATAGGTATCCCCCAGTTGGATTTGGCACAAAATATGAACACTCATTCATCATCTACAGCTTTGAAAGTTTGCTTATAGCTGAGATGCATGTTAAATTAAAGACTGAAATTCAGGGAGCTGGGTGATACGTGTCTATTTTAGAGGGAAAGCTCACAAATTTCTACTTACTGCATCAGTCACCCGACTTGTTAATGGAGCTACTCTTAAATGAATCAACATTAGGCTCTGCAGTACTTAAGCTCCACAGCACCTGGATGCTTTTATGCTCACAGCTACTGAGCAAGATGTTTTTAAGGGCCCTGGGTAGTGACCTGATTTTTGGTGGTATAACAAAGAGAACTAATCTGTTGCTGAAACTTCCAGTAATAAAGTAGGATATACAATATATATTTTTTTATATTCTATTATGTGACACGTCTATTCAAATTCTTCATTGACAATTTTTCTTTACTTATTCTTTTTACAGACTCCTCAGATGGTTGCTACTGTGGCCTCCATATGATTCTAGCCAGCTCTCTCTAGGAAGCTTTCTCAGTGAGTAATCTCAGTAAGCCTCTCTATGTTTCATGAGGAACATTCAAATTTCATATTGTACTTTTTAAAAAATAAATGTACATATCTATTTTATTCAAGAGTTTGACATGGATTTTAGCAGAGAATTCAGGTGTTTTCTGTTTTCTGTTCTTGGAGTAATTGTGTGTATGTAGGCCATTATTTATTTTCACCACTAGAGGGCTGTAGAAACTGGGTGGCTTGTATTTTTTAAGTTGATTGGATAAACACAGGGATCTGGGTGTTTGAGTGGATTTTTGAGTACTCACTTCCTTCACAGTCACCTCTGTTTATTCTGGAGAGGACAGCTTGTGATGTGCCAATCCGCTTCTTTTAGCCAGTCTCCTCCTTCTACATCGACTTTATTCTAGTTGGTGAGAACTCTACACTTGTGGAGTAATTTCTTATAATGACTTGAATTAAATGTTTTCATAACTCTTATAATATTGTAGATGACAGGGGCTTAATGGGACTTTTTCACAGCAGCTATGTTGACTTGGCAAAGTAGGAAAAGCACAAGTGTTACTACTCACATTAACAATAGGTCTGCTCTGTTCCATGTCATGATTTCGGTTTCCAAATTAAGCCATGACAGTGAGTCAGCATGCACAACACCAAGACAGTGAAAGTGAATCAGCTAATGGATTTCAACCATCATTAATTGTATTATTTACACCTGTGCTTTACCCTTTGTTACCAGGTGACGTGTGGTGTATTCTTTTGTAGGGAGGGTTTTGGTCCGCTACATGGTTGATTGCCATTTTTGCTCTGTCTAGCTACTGCTTTTTGTAAATAATAAAGTTTTATCCTTTTGATTATTGTTGTTCTGTCTAAAAGGCAAATTGTGTGGGAGTAACACCGAAAACTTGAATCATTACTCAGTGAAGTTTATCAGTATGAGCTGACAAAATAAGACCATTAATCCATGTTACACTTACACAACTAAACAAGTTGTTTGTAAATGGTAATGGTTCCCCCATCTATTTATTATGCACCATGAAAGGTTAAATGTCTATGAGAGACGCCGACTGCTGGAGGCCTGAGTCGGAGGAAGAGCCTCAGAGAAAAGATATGCAGCTCTCATAAACTATTTATGAAATTCCCCTCATTAAACTGAGTCACATGACCATACATCTATGGTTTATTTCTTATTAAAAGAACTGAGGTTGACTTGGACAGGATGCTAGAGTTTGATAGATAAAGAACATTTTCTTCAGTCCAGTGGACGTTTTCTAATAACAGACTAGGTTGTTGTGTTTTGTTCCCTTTCACCAATAGTTTATGGCTTTATGGTAAATGGTGATTTCACAAATGTGGCAAAGAAACTGTTCAATTGCTCAATTTGAAGATAGTGAAGCAACTAAACATGTTTCCTTTAGGTGTGTGTGTGTGTGTGTGTGTGTGTGTGTGTGTGTGTGTGTGTGTGTGTGTGTGTGTTTTCAATATAACCTACTATTAACCACACAGTGGCGCAGTTGAAGCAGCTTGAGCAGGAATATTATGTCATCAAGTGATTACGCTCAGTCCAGGCTGCTGTCATCACGATGAACTCTGTCACTGTTCTGAGCCCTTTCTTTTGCTCATAGGCATGCATGTTTTTACCACTTTCCCCTATCTCTGAATTGTGTATCTGAGAACATGCTACTACTTTATCATTTGAACATTGAGCAAAGCTATGGCGTTACATAATGTCCATCTATGTCCAGCCATTAGGCTCCCACTGGTTGTGTAACACATTAGTGTGCTGGACATCAGAGGAGAGGACATCCGAGTCAGAGGACAGACCTCTGTAGATATACATCCTTTCTGAGAAGATGTTTGCTTATTTGTTTTGAATTTCTCATCTAATATAATATAAACTCTCTAGCCAGTTCCCTCTGGCCAATCACAGTCCAACGCACCAACAACCTCAAGACAGCCTGGATCAGGCTGAACTCAGATAGATATTCAGTTTCAGTTCTGGTTGTTTGTGAATGGAGCTGTGCGGATCTTCCATATAGAAACCATCCACGGTCTTTGTTTACATCCTCCACCTCCGCCTCTCACAGCGCCACACGATGCTCCGAGCTCACACCGCTTGTTTACCAGCGCCTCACTGAGCACTGAAACTCCATCACAGCCTTCAAAGACGAGGCAAGAAGAAAACAGCTCGTCGCGCTCGGCGGCAGCCAATCAGCGGCCTGGTTTCTCTTCAGCATCTCGCAGGGACTGAGCCATCGGGCAGACTTGAGCTCAGGCAGCAGCGGGGAGGAAGGAGACTTCAAGGCTGCTCGACGCGCAATTATGGTTTTGTGAAATTTACAAGGAGGTGGAGGATTTCGTCACCAGGTGATTAAAACTGAATTTGGCTTCATTACTTTATTAGCAGAAGCTACCATTGTCTCATGGTAGATCTACATGTTTTCACATTATGCAAACAATTAATAATTTGATGACTTTATGCCAGTCTACATACATTCAACTGATTCCTGAAGGTGCTTGTTGTTCAGGTTTCAAGTCTCTGCATGCTTCCTTAATGCTGATTTTGCAATAAGAGATGCCCTTTGACATATAAAGACGTGTGGCAGCATGCTTTGCCAATAATTGAATAGAATCGAAAGGGTTTTGCCTATAATGTCATGTCCTGCATTGGCAGACATGCATTAGAAGCTGACAATAACAAACTGATCACGTGGACTCTGTGTGAATGTATCCAGCATTTACAAGTTTATGTAACACACTTCGCTCAAGAGTCACGCTGAGACAATCTGGTTTAACCGGGAGCTGCACAGTAACATAAACACGAGCCTTTTCTCCTCTGTTTATCTTTTAAATGCGGGCTCAATGAGAGCCAGAGTGAAGGGTTCTCCATTAAGCACCATTACTGGTTAAAGAGAATGATTGACAATGCATTTGGCCTGTGGCTGCAGCCTTTGTGCCAAGCTGTTGGGTTATATGGAGGTAGTTACATAATTATACATGAAAAAAAAAAGTGTGCCTCTTTTATTAGCTTCCTGATGCTCTGAGCAGCAACTCCTTATTTAAGATATGACGGGTTTTACAAAAAAAAAAAAAACAGACTAATGAGGCATATGTAGGGATGGAGTACAACATGTTCTGGACAGAAATATAAATAAGTATGATGTAATCTGAGAAGTGTCGATTGGTTAATTGCAAATTAACAGCCTACTGTTTAAAATTACATTGGATTCTGTTGTGACACTGATCAGTACCAGTAGGAAAAGTAATTAATGTATTATGATGTTAAAAAAAAAAAAAAAAAAAAGGGGGGGGGGGGCACAAAAAGACACTTCACCTCTCCCATAAGGAAGGTAATGTGTTTACTTTCTCTCAGCAAGGCTGAGTCCTCCCCAGGTTGAATTAGGTATGCATGAGAAGAAGTGTTTGTCCCAGATTCACTGTTCTAGGTTTCATTGCACTGGTCCAAGAGCCTTTGGGTCCTGTCATAAACAATTAACCTCAGAGTGTAAATTATCCCATTTTGTTTGTGGTGATGACTCAAATTCAGGTCAGGTTTACAAAATAAAAGTATTGCTTTTGGGCAAAATGAAGTGTTGTAGTCTTATGGCTTTTTTTTTTTTTTAACTACACAAAGCTGAGGGGGAGAATTATTTTTTCATGTTGGCCTTAACATTAGGAAATAATTGCAACTATGCGTTTCGTTGTTTCTCATTTTGGTGTTTAGACATTAGATGGTGTTTCCAGGACATTACAAAGACTGAGTTATATTATTAATTAATTAAGTGAGACATTACACAACACAGTCTGCCTTCCAAAAATGTTTTAACCAGGCTCTACCCGAAGCTAATTTGCAGTTGGCTCAACAGGCCTTTCTCCATCTGAGCCATGTCAGGGACACTGTGTATGGCATCATCTATTCTTCTCAAATGGGGGGTTGCGTAAGGACCCCCACGCTTTCTTTACGCTGCCTTATACCTCTATTTGGCTTGCTGCTGCTGCCAACAATAACTGCTGTAGCTTGTTTCAAACATCTTGTTTTTCTATGCACAATGCTTGCCAAGATCTTTGACTCATAGAGCAGTTAAAGAGTTTAGGGAGGTGAGGACTGACAGAGACAGCATGCTGGTGACCTCAGACCCGGGCTGCAGCATACTGATGTCATGCCCTCTCTCCCTGTATCTTTGGGGAGAGAGTTGGGGTTGAGGACAGTGGCCAAACTGGGAAATGGTTAAGAGGTTGTATTTAGTGGTGTCAGGTGGTACAGCGCTGAGTCCATGTTAAAGTTTACAGCTAGCATCGTTCTATATTTTTGTTATTGTTATGAGAAGAACAAAACCTATACGATGCGTTTGTCCATCTCCCTCGGTGCTCTCCAACTTTCCTCACACTGCCTGTGGCGCTCAAAGCCCATTCATTCCTACTAAAGATGTACATTTTTTCAAAATGTGTAGTTTCATTTGTAAAAAAAATAAATAAATAAAAAATAAAAATAAAAGGTGCTTTCCTAAAACAGCTGGGCATTGTAGTTTTTAGCAAATATTCCTCATACATGAGTAAATGGGGCATTTGTTGGGGGCCGTTTTCAGAGTAATACAGCCTTGGCACAATAGAGTATTTACTAGTCATATGTATACATTTTCGCATTTTGCCTTCATTAGGTAGTTAACAGTGGAAATGCAGATGGGAAACATGGGTAGAGAGAGGCAACCCACTAGAACAGCATAAGTACAACTGACTGAAAATCAACCACAGTCCTTGTTAGAAGTAGTAATAGTTTAATACGCCAACGACAACAGAGGTTCATGGCACAGAGGAATAATCTACACCAGGTTCATTGGTGATTCTTGTCATGGGATTTTTTGACAGTAAGAAGAATTTTGAATATTGCCATAGCCTTGTCTTTTAAAGATGGCTCTCTGTTGATTTACTCTCTTCAGTAGTGCTCGTCCCATTAATTAGTCTACAGTACGCAGCGTGGCAGTAAGCTGGCAGACACGATGTACTACATTAGATGCAGATCAGTCCTGAGCAGACTGGAAGGTTTCACCGTGGCAATGATGCTCGTGCTTTATGTTGATGATTGACCTACAGTCACATTTCGGAGCAGCTGCCTGGCAACGATACCGATCTAGATCAAAAGCAGATGGGATCTCTGCATGCCCACTCACCGTGATGGCATGATAGAGGAGGCTACTGTTCAACGCTCTCCTCTCTCTCTCATCACTCAGACAACATGGTCATCATTTTGTGAGTTAAACACCATCTGCCAAACCAACACTTAAACACAAAATGTTGTTTTTTGGTGTTTCGGCGTGCATGTTGTCCACTGGCTGATCTCCTCCCTTGAGAATGAATAGAATGTTCCATCCATGGCGGCGTATTGTTGCTATGAATAGATCCAGTTCAAAATGGGTCAATTTATAGTTAAAGCACTCATCTGTGCAGTGTATTGCCAGAAGGCGAGTGTATGTAAGCATCCTGTCATCCAGTCACAGATTTGTCTCGGGGGATCTGCCCTTAACCAAATGGCTTCTTGTGTGAATGTGGCAAATTGGGGCAGAAAAAACACACAACAGCACAAAACTGTTCTAAAATGATAGTTTTTGTCTAATAATTGTTAGAATCAAAGCATATATAACTTTGAATTACATATAAATCACTTGTTAAATCTTACAATGTTTCAGCCACCATTTCAGTATGTATACTAAGACAAATATACTGGGCCAAAAGATATGTTCTCCTAACTGTCTATAATAATAAAAAAGGTCTGTCAGAGCACTACACTTTATTTTAATCTCAGTATGCGTTCTATTTCAGGCCACTGAACTCAGCACAGTGTTAATGACCTCTCTCTTATGTATTGAACATAATGTGATTGAGGAAGCTTGTTGTACTGAGGACTTAGACACTTGAAACAGACTAACTGACTGACTATAAATTGGAGGAGGATGAAGAAAAGGTTCCTTTGTTTCACATAGATTTTACTGCTGTGATTGACACACAAAGGAAAACACACACCGTGTAGTTTGTCTACTACTGAAAGGATGTTTGAAGAACGGTGGAACCTCAGTGTGGGCATCACAGGAAGCCACTGTGATGCCAAACCTACATCACATGAACACACAGCAGATTTGAATGCATCCCTACTGTGATACACATTTTACTTCTTGCATTCCACTGTAAATCTGCCGACAACAAATAAGTACATTTCCATCATATCATCATTAAACTTGTAAGATGAACCATTTAATTAAAAAAAATAAAACTAAGGTGTATGATGATCTAAAGAGAGTGATGTGATTATATTAGTTTAATAGAAAGACATTTTCCAAGAAGGCTGGATATTGGCAATGATCTAGCAAATCAATTGAATTTCAATTTCAGATATGATTTGTTTTGATTAATTTTATTTGACTCAATTCTGGAATTACATCACGTAAATACTAATACTGAATAAATATAAAAGTGTTTTTAAGAATTTATGCGAGAAACTAGAACTTATTATTTCACAAGAACCTTTTTCTTTTTAATATGAAACAGCTGAAATCACAAGTTATTGGCTAAATTGTCAACACATTTCTCTGTTCTGGACCAAAACAGTGAACCAAGGAAATTAAAACTATAATTTATAACAAGTAATCACAGCCCTCCTGTAACATGTACTGCAAATGTAAACATATTCATTGTGGAAAGGCACAGATATAAATATTGATCTTGAGACTCAATATAATATCATTTAACTTAAAATTGTGATCAATCGGCAAATCGTTCCGTTTGACCTAGCCCTGTCCCCCTAAGTATGACCTCGTTGCAATGGCTGCCTAGTGTATGAAATACATTTTAAATAATGTTTCAGGCTGAAGATTTCTTTTGGTTGTAAGTATGAGTTATGAGAGCGTTTTCAGCGCTGGATAGATTTAGATTTTCCATTACAACCCCCCCCCCCCCAACACATGATAGATACAGCCTCAGCAACCTGTTACTCCATCTCGATTGTCTTGGCCCGAGTACTCGATGACATATGACTACAGAAACTCCTGGCATCAATAGTGGCACTCTGCGATGTCACCATGCGTGTATGTGTGAAGACATGGGCATGGGTCAGACAGAGAAGCCACTAGCACTGGACAATGGGTTCCCAGTGTGCGTAGCTATGAATGCCATTATTCATACAGATTAATAATCTCCCCTTTTTTTTGTCCTAAGAATTGACATCCTGATTATAATGGCTTTATGCAGTGTCAATCTTGGAACTTTTGTACCCATTTAAGTGTCGACTGTACTCAGGAAGGTCACATTTGTGGTTGCTGGCCACAGGGTCGTGGAAATAAAACCCTTCACTTTTACATGGTGCCATTGGGGGTGAGTGAAAGAACTTAATTGCTGACTTGAGGGACTCGCTTGAAACTATACTAGCTGGAGCAGACGGTAAAGTCCGCGGGGATACGACATCTCTCTCTGCTTTGCATCTTCTTTGTATCTGTTTTAACAGCAGCGAATAGAACGACTGGCAAATAGTTTTAGAGACTTTGTTGGGGTGTACTTTGCCATGGCAGCACACGTCCTCTAACAGTGCTGAGCTGAGTATGGGAACAGCTGAAAGGTGAGCAGAGAACCATCACTTGCTACAAACATAGATAATGATCTTAATAGAAATAGGCTTTTTCTTGCTTTTTTTTGTATGACAGTAATTTGATTTTCCTGCTTCTTCCCAAATCAACATGGACTAAAGTAACTTCTTCAAGTTCAAGTGTGAGGCTGTGTCGAGAAGGTGCTATCCAGTTGCTCTGCACACACTGATGCAAATCTGGATAATGATGTGTTTAGAGAGGAATCCCTGTACTCTGAGTGAATGAAATCATCCGAAGCAAAATAATACGGTAGTAATAATCTTTATTTTTAGAGCACTTTTCTAAACCCACGTTACAAAGTGCTTCACACAAGGCAACAACTTCAAAACAAACAGATCATCAAAAGAGAGAAGTGAAGGCGAACAAACCCAGCCTTAAAGGATGTGTCACAACAAAGAGTAATTTACATGCAGACGCTATCTGGAGGTAATTTGGTGTTAATGATGATTGAGGGGATTTTGATCTTGATCCTTTTGAAGTCGTGGTCGTTATTCACCCCATTCTGACGGGTTTCCTTAAATCTCTATGTCTGCTTGTGTGTGCCAGACTGGATTAGACATGATCTCATTATTAATTGTGTTTATATTGGAGTGTGATTAAAGAGGGAAGAGTACAAGTGGCATATTGTACTTTTTTTATAGTGATGCTTTATTTTAATTTGTTTTGATTTTATTATTTTCTGTCTCCCTTCTTCTTTCTTGCACTCACATGCGTACAGACACCTCCTCTCACATCGTTCACCTGCGTTCTCATCTTGTCCCACAGCACAAAGAGAAATCAAAAGTCGGCTAATCCAAGCACTGCGCAGAGGGAACCAAATTCCTGCACAAGCATGGCAGACCAGAGGTAAGTTTTAGAAGTCATCTACAAAACAAGAGCCTTCACCTCACATTTTGCACGTTAGTTCAAATACCCATCTGCTCTCTTGGTTCTTGATTTGTGTGCCTTTTGAATTCCACAGAGATCTATTTATACCCTTCACCGCTGTGCCAGAACACATAACACATCTGCCCATTCACAGGCAGTGTGAGCACAGAAACACACCTCTGGAGAGTCTAATCTTGCTTGTAACATAGATTAGCTTGCAAAAAAAAAAAGGGACAACTAGAGACAAATTTGCAAGCTGTGTCTTGACCCTAAAGCATGATGGACTGTTTATTTCTGTAGCAGTGTTTGTCTGCTGCAAGTCTTGCAGAGGGTAAGATCAGATATGTTTATGCTGAAAACCCTCTCTTCCTTCCTGGCGCATATACCGTGACTAAATGTCTTTTTTGTTTTGAATCTGTTGATTTTCCTTCTTTTAGGCAGCCAATAGTCATTCAGCCCCAGTAACTGTTCCTCTCAAATCAAGTGTTATTTTACAGGCCTCTTGTATTCTGAATATTCAGACATGTAATTTAAAGGAGTAGGTTCAGTGAATGTGCTACATTTTCCATTATATTACCCGAATAAATGGTCAGATGACGCTGTAACTTTTTTTTCCCCTCTCAGAGACAACATGGATGACTTTAAAGTCCAGACAGCCAAGCATCCCAACATGGGCTCGGCCCCTTTACGGCCGCACAGTGAACAGTCTAAAGACCGAACGTCCAAAAGGCTTTCGTCTGAGTCTAATGGGACCAGCGAAGGAGGTGTGGGTTCGTCCACACCAGTGGAGGTGACCGCTTTGGAAGAGTCATTTCGGCGCTTCGCCATCCACGGTGACACTCGCGCTACAGGCAAGGACCTGCACGGCAAGAACTGGTCCAAACTCTGCAAGGACTGCGGTGTGATTGATGGCAAGAGCATCACCCTCACCGACGTGGACATCGTCTTCAGCAAAGTCAAGTAAGAAATGCACCAAATGTGTTGCTCTCTAAAGACTAAATACTGTGAAATCATTTTCAGCCTATGTGGGGTTTTTTTCCCCCTTTCGTTAATCTGTCAACATCTGAGCTCTCAGCTATGATCTTGCAACCGGCGTGCCACAACAAGACTGTCCTCTTTTAACACATAGTGTTCCAGTACTGTTGACTACAGGTTTAGTCACTGAGATCAGCATGCTCAAAAGGTCACCAACGTGGAGCATTGTGGTGGCAAATAGCTGGAGATGAGAACTGGCTCAGGACTGCACTGTTGGTATGAATGAAAAAGGCTGCTTATATTCTGTTTCATTAGCGTCCATAGGATTAAATCAATGGCATTGTCAAGAAAAACAGGCAGAGGGAAGGAGCAATGAAAACTGGCTGAATGTTGCATTGTGGGCTGCTGCTATGGAACCCCATGTTTTTTGGGCAATACTGACTCTTCTTTCTTCTGTTGAGTTAGCTTAGGTGAAACTGTCCATCAGAAACAGCAGCCAGAGCAAGAGGCCAGGGTGTCTCATCCTGTATCTCCCTCAGGCCGCACTTATTTATCCGTAACTGCTTGATTTAAGTGAGGTAGAGTCTAATAATAAGCTGTGACCTCAATATTATTTCACCAAAGGAGGAAAACCTTTCATCGGTACAGCTGTGCTTATGTTTACCAAGTGTACTGAGTCTGCAGACCTTTTTGTGCTGATAACACATTGACAGATGATGTGTAGATATCTTCCACATCACATTGAATATTGTGTATATGTTTGCGCATAGTTAGTTTGGAGATCTTCATTCATACACAAAGCAGACGTTTTACTTTTTTTTTTTTTTTTTTATCCTGGTTGAATGATGTGAATAAAAAATGATTCTGCTAGACAGCACCAGAATAGAAGAGTATGGCTGGAAGCCACTAATCATCATGTCTTGCTACAGGAGAGAAGAGGTTGCTTGAAAATCTCACACTGATTTAGTGGATTTTCCATCTTCTGCTGATGTGTAACCGAAGTTCAACCTCAGTCATTTTGTGTACACACGTATATACAAGAGATTCCAAAAATGGTTTTTAGTGTTAATTTTCTGTTTGAAAGTTTTTGTTCCTTTCCTGTGTTTAGGAAAGATAAAATATTTTTTAAAAAAGTCTTTCCACAAAACTAGGATTAACTACTTAATGACTTCTGCTACCAACAAACAGTGAAGGATAAACTAAAACAGTTTTGTATTCTAATTTTTTATTTCTTGCATACCAAGAAGAAACATGCATGGGTTTTCCATTTCCAGAACTCACAAAAACATGTTACAGGAGACACAAACATGGAGTGGCAGGATTCAGTCCTCAGTTACAGCCTATCAAAAGCCACACACGGCTTCAGATGCTAGAGACTGAAACTGACTCACATATTTGACCAGGATTACTCATGCATGTTTATACTAAAGCAGAAAACGAGCTACAGTAGTAGTCCTTTCATGATTGGTATTATTTTTGTGCTTAAGATGGACATGACATTCTCTGCTTGAAGATAATAAGCAACTTGGGCAAGACAGTGCCCTTACAGTCTTGCAGGTTTTCTAGCATTTCTAGATAAACATCTAAATACATCATTATTTCAGCACTTCTTACAGCAAACTGGACAATAGTATTTACATTTGTGAAGCCAAAGAAGTATCCTTGTTTTTTTGGACTTTGAGTCACCCACATCAACACCTTCACAGTTGGCATGGCAATGGGTGTTCATGTTTACTGCTCAACATTTTTCTTGGCAAGACAAGTGAAGCTGGCTGTGGGATTTAAGCTTGTTTACATCGCGCTCTATTGGTGAGCAATATTTGGAAATGTGCAAACAATATGGTGCAACCACTTTAGACATTTAAGTAAAAGAGCATGTTCCCTGTTTTTTCACACGCTTTTAGTCGTGAATCTGCAGTGTTGTACACACATTAGGTCCTTGGATGAGTGTTTGGCCTATCGTTTGCAGGCGTTGTTGTCTGAGGCTTACAGGTTCTAATCAGGGTCCCAGATAGACCAGCATGCATTGTGAACCAGCCTCACAGAGGAGGATAGTACAGTAAAATCTGAACAAAGTGTGTGGTGTGTGTACACTTCAGAGGATAAAAAGAGGTAGGCTAGAGGGTGGGGGAAGGGCTCATTTTCATGTAGTTTCTGACTCCGGGCATGACTGAGCCAGGGAGGGCTGTCATGCCAGAGATGCAGATCTCCACTTTCCTTTTAATCAGTGTCAAAACTCTTTGCTTGCACACGAAAAATTAAACATCCTAATGAGCACTGGCTAATGACAGCATGGCTGAATAAACCCTTATTTATTGTGGGTATGGAGGTCTCCTGCACCACATTGAGTCTCTGCTGTGCTGTCTGCTCGAAGCCAGAACACCACAGCTTAAACTATGGATGAGGTTGAAATCTGGCGTGGACTAATTAATTACTAGCATGATCTTATGGTGGCTTCATTTTCTAGGCTTTGGTTGAATTTCCTCATCACTGAACATGATGTAGGCGTTGTAGGCGATACAGGAGCATTTTTTATATGGATCATGTAATACAGATGGTTGAACTATGTAAATAAACAGCGGGTCAGCTACTGCAGTAATCCACGCTAAGATAACGTTCCACTTGCCCCCTAACCTTTGTCCTTTTTAACCTCATCACAGTCTCCTCTGATTCACTGTTTACACAGAACAGTTACACAGGTTAACCATTTGTATACTTTGGAGAATTTAATAGCTCAGTATGGAGAGATCTGCAAAGGACTCACAGTTATCTGCCTTGGACAGACACAGCAGCTGGAAGTCCAGCTTCCCCTCTGACAATAGACAGCATGGAACAGGCACAGAGGAATGGAGCTCTCATATGTTCAACACTGATGGATTGCCCAAACAAAAGCAGTCACTGGATGAGTCAAATTAATAATAAACCCAAACGTCCCTGTTTACTGTAGCTTGTTGCTATGACAGCAAGTTGCCTGGGGAGACTGCAGGGTTTATAGGCTGTTGTTTAGGTGATTTATCACCACAGCAATGGCTGTTTGTGTTTGTGTTACTATGCACTTTTAACATGGAAGTGAAACAAATGGCTGGTTAGACAACTAGAGCACTCTCAGAAGGAGAATGATTGATGATGATGATGATCTGTGGCATGGTGTTATCAGTGGTTACAACAATTTGAGCTTACAAATGAGAACGCAGTGCTTCACAACACACTTCCAGGCACTTAGCTGGACTCAGCAGGTCTACTTGTGTCTATTAGACAGCTGAAATGAAAAACATAGGGGCTCTGGGCCCTGAGCACTGCAGCTGAACTATACAGCTGAATACAATATGATCCATAATATGAAGAGACAGTCACATATACAGCCCACAGCTGTGTATCCAAGTCTGTGGAGTTGCTCGGACGACAGTTAAGTACTGAGACACACTGGGAGACGAGACCCAAACAGTAAAAGTTTTCTCATTGTTTATCTCAGCAGGATACCATCTCCATGCTGTCTTACATCTGCCATGCTAAAGTGATCACACATGGCTGTGTCTACACTACTGTCTGTTCTCGTTTTATGCTTTCAAACTGTACTGAGAGGCTGTAGAAAAGCCCTGCTGATAAAGCAAACCTAAATACAGCATTTTTGTCCCTGGAGGCTCAGTTGAGCAGATGTCTTTTTGGGTGTGTTATCCCATATTTAAGATCCTTTTCCACCTACATTTCAGGAAGAAATCCTCTCGCACCATCACATTTGACGAGTTCAAGGTTGCACTAGGAGAGTTGGCCAGGAAGAAATATAAAGAGAAGACTGGAGAGGAAGCCGAGGCCGAGGTCTTCAAGCTGATCGAAGGGAAGGCACCTATAATTGCTGGAGTTACGGTAAGACTCAAAACATGAATAATTCTGATGTCATGTCCATCTTATCAGCAATAACGGAATAAACTGAAATGTTTTGCAAACATCCTCACAGAGAGCCGTGGCTTCCCCGACAGTGAGCCGCCTTACAGACACCACCAAGTTTACGGGGTCACACAAGGAGCGTTTTGACACCACCGGCCGCGGGAAGGGTAAGGCGGGACGAGTAGACATAGTTGACACTTCCGGATACGTCTCGGGATACAAACATCAAGGGTCATATGAAAAGAAAGTCACTAAACCCACCGTGGGAAAACCCATGTGAGAGTGAAGATGAGGAAATAAACATTTGATCAATTACTAGGATAATTTTCTATTTAAAAAAAAGAAAAAAGAAAAGAAGAGTACTCAATGAAAGCACAAAAGAATAGGATTGCATTATATTTTCCCAACCATCTATTTTGTGTGTGTGTGTGTGAGAGAGAGATGTTTTTGAGTTCCTCTCTTTTTCAGGTGTGAGAACTGGAAAACTGTTTACATCTATTTTTACAAAGTCATCACCAGCTGGTACATTCCTATCTGATAGCAAATTACTGCCAAACACTGAAGAAAACAAATGAGAACTTCTATGCTATGAATATTGCAGCTTTGTTGTTATGATAGGGGCTTATAATATTTATTAAGCACAATGAACACAACATGCCAAGAAAAACAAAAGTGGGGCAGCGGTTTGATGAATTAACAACATTGCACTTTTTAAATGGAAATGTTTCTATTCCCATATTTAGCTGAAGAAATGAATTTTTAATTCGTTTTGCAGAGTTTCAGTGATAATTGGCTCTCATTTTTGACATAAATATTAATTCAATCTTGTGTTAATTGTTTGTCTGCCATCTCCACTTGTCAGCCGTTGTTAAGTCTTGATAAAATCTGCTGTTCATTTTTTATTTTCAAAAGCTCACACTGTCATCTGAATATTTTGCCTTTAGCTCAAACCAAGAAAGATATTCTAAGAATTTTGTCAACTTGGTTTAATTTTTTTTTTTTTTGTTAGTTGTTGGATTGAACATTTTTGACCTCTGCCATATCTGTCTGCTTCTGTGAATATGAAAAACAAAAGTCCTAGCATGCAAGTCTTTTAAAATGGCCTGCTTATGACGCTTAAATAAACATTTATTTAATAGGACTTTCCTATTACATCTTACACTGCCTCACAAACCATATTGCCAACATGCATTTTGAATATTAAATTGGTGAATTTAGCTGAAGGAAGCTCCAACCGCAGTAGATGAGCTCAGTTGTACAAGATTGTATTTTTAACATTTTACTTAAATTGTTACTTCCTCATCAGATTTCTTACAGTAGTTCTAATATATTTGTGGTAAGATTGTGTATATTCTAAAAAGTTATAGCCACCTGGCTTAATTTATGACACTGGCTTCGTATGTTTTTATTTCTTCCTGTATTGCTGTACTTTGTGCATGTTGTGTATATTGCATTTGATTCAGAAGCATATAGATGACTGTAGGAGTTTGTCATATCGTATCTGAACTGCTGTGCCTGCTGTGAGGACAGACTACTGGACTGACTTAATTATTTTCTTGCTAAAAATATATTAAGTGATGAAACTGTGGGATCATGATAAAATCTTGTATTGCTTGAAATCAATGTGTATCAACTTGTACATGTACAAAGTCAGCTACCCTATAATGCTATTATACTTGTCTATTGATAAAGATTTAGAGTACCTTTTATGTGTGGTACTGTCATCCAAGGCACAAATTCAACTAAATACAAAAGCAGGGATTTACTGTTGTATCCTGACATACTGCATACTGTATGAGAAAAAGGGAAAAATGCAAGTAATATACTTTTGTAGAACAATATTTTTTCAACATAGTGACAGTGTTTTTTTCACCACACTCGTCACACACTACCCGTAGCCTCAGCTGATGAAGAATCACGCATTGAGTGCGAAACTAGCAGCTATCAGTGTGTTAGTTTTTGTCTGCTGCAGTAGCTTGGGTGTAATCTCTTTCCTGTGCTTAATGCCAAATACTGTGCACCTTTTAATGTGGAGGAACAATATTGTCTTTATTTTATTTTTTTCAAATAACTTTTAATGTACTATTGTGCCCCGGTGCATGCAGCGTGTTTTTGTTCTTGTTCTTTAGACCTCTTAATGTGTGTTCATGATTTGTAGTGCTTTATTGAAAATAAAAAATAAAAATAAAAAAACACCCCAGAACCTTTGCTGAGCAGGTTATGGGGTGCAAGTCAAAATATTCTATTCTTATGGTTTTTTCAGGAACACTGTGAAACTCCCTGCCAGTAGCACCAACCAGTGACCTGTAACAGTCACATAAAAATAAAAGCAGCATCAGTTTATGTAGGATCCACATTCTAACCTGGTTTGCCAGGTCTTGCATTAGTGTCTGTGAAACGAAAGTGTGTTGGTGTGTGTGTGTGTCTGTAGCTCTCCAGCCCTAAGGCAGAGGTATAAATAAAGTCACATTGCAGCTGGAATCTAGATGCATTCATTCCACTACAGCGTACAAAGCAGATGGAGACACAAATGGCCTAAAATAAAATAAATAAAAAAGGGGAAAGACAGCCAAGAGAGACACAATCTTTCCACTGATCCAGGAAATAAATTATGACCTATCAACATTTTTCCCCCATAAAATGATCTGTCAATATAACAGTCGTGTCACACACTTATACACAGCCTTACTTGAATGAATTGCCTTTCCCGATCATTGTTTACATCAAGCTAACACATATTATATTAAATAATGAACATTTATCAAAGGGGCTGGGAACTTCATACCCACAAACACAATGTACCTTGCAGTGATATAAATAAAAGTATGTCTTTAAATGCTGGGGCTCATGCAGTGACTGCAATGCTAATATGACATTCTGCATAGTCTTGTTTTGATATTTTCATACCGATGCGCATGTCCTCATTCAAAATCGTCTTTAATGCTCCCCACTTCCCTTCAGCTCAGCTAGCAAACACTCGTTGGTAGCCACCAGGGACCTGCAGCACGTACACAGACACATTCAAATCACATAAGCAGCCAACGGAGCAGCAACTGATTTAGATACGAGCGGCAACGCTCAGATATGAGCATCCTCTTACCTGTGGCTTTCCTGCAGCATATTTGATAAATCCTTGACTTTCTCAGCCTCCTGCACTTTCTCCCTCAGCCCCTCGATCTCTTTCCTCAGCTCCTCCACTTCCGTCTGAGCCTCTAAAAATGTGCAAGTATGAGAGTATAGTGTAAGGAAAGCAGCAAAATGTTCATTCATATATATCCCACTGGCATTTACACCCACCTTTAATCTGAGTAATAGGTGAACTTTTCATCATAGACTTGAGATACTGTCGTTCTAATTTGATGAGCTGTTTCTGTAGAGCGACATTCTCCTCCAAGACAATCCTCAGCTGCTCATTTAATTTGCCCTACGATGGAGTAAACACAATAAAGACTCCATGCTTATCAAAGCTTTTAAGGCCTCTTGAAGTTAAATATTTTTCGAGTGCTGAATCCACTCACAACTGCACTACGAGTTTCCTCCAGCTGAGCAGAGAGGTTACGAACTTCAGTTTTGTGCTCTTCCTCTCGTGCAGCCGCTTGAAAGCTCAATGCATCAGCTTCTCGTCTTAAGTTCCTGACCTCAGCCTCCCGGCTGGAAATATCGCTCTCCATCATAGAGAGGATCTGGACCGCCTGAGCTAGAGCCAAAAATAGAAATGATGAGAAGATATTCATTATCTCAGGCTCCTGTAATCAGAGATCACATTCCCCAAACCAACCTCCAACTCACACAGGAAGTTGTTGTTATGATGCAGAGATTTCTCTCCCGTCCAGTGTTTGTCCACGAGATTGAGAAGCATCTCCAGGGGTTTCCTGTAACTACCCTGGGGGGGGCGAATTCAGAGAAACTGGAAGTTGATATCAGAAGAGAAACAACCTCAAATATGAGTTGTACAAGTAGGGAGAAGGAACAATTTATGATTCAGTCAAATTAGTAAGAAGACTGAATTAACTCCCAACCCTTTTTTTCATTTCTGCTTGCTGCTGCAGGCTGGAGCCCCCTCCTGTCTTATTGAAGCTGGAGTACGTCAGTCTTGGAGGATGTAAAATGGGGTTAGAAGAGTCAGACAGATTCAAACCAGGACGATGAGGACTGGGAGGCCGGATGTTAATAAATGAAGAACTATGATGGTGTCTTTGATCTGAAAATAATGTTGAAAACACACATTCAACAACATACCAAGAAAGCGAAATTTGGTATTTGCAGATGTGTATAACTTCTGACATGGGATCTTTTTGAGTGTAGACTTCAGCTCCTACCAGGATTGGGGGTGAAATGTCCCTTGGCTGCATGTCTGGTTTGTTTGGGGAAGTCCTTTAGTTTTCCAGGCACTGCTCTGCGTCTCTCTACATAGGGGCCAAAGGACACCTTTGGTCTTTCAGACACTTTTAATGAGGTAGAGCCTTTTTTATGAGATGGATCTTTCATGTGTGCCACATTGGACTCTGCATTATCTGGTAAATTATAAATAACACAATAAAACATTGACATTAATTGACACTGGATAGTCGGACTGGCTTCTGTCTCCACCCAGTGGTGGTTTTACACATTGTCAGCAACTGAAAAGAGAACAGAGGCTTCAACTGTAAACCATTTCAAGAAAAAATTGTTTTCTCTAATGTTCAGCCATCTCTGATAACCTAATCACCAAATCAAAATACAGAGTTTATTTACAATTACAAAAATGCAGATTTTTGATAAATTGTTCATGGATTGTGATTTCTTTGCTCCACATAAAGCTAGAACTAGAGCAGAGAAAATTACCATACAGCCATAACGTTTTGTTTCTATGGTGTTAACGGTTACAGTCTCTGTCCTCCTAATAAACCACAAACATACACACAAATCTCTGCAACTTTGACTGACTCTCCAAATAGAGAGCTGTAAAAACTTACCATATTTTGTGGGGGGATACCTGAGGATGGATTTAGCCATTTCCTTTAAAAAAAAAAAAAAAAAAAACAGACCATACACTATATGTATATATAGATATATAATACAAATGTACTTCTGGTGATATTGTTTCACCTGCAGTAAGATAAAATCACCTGTTTTGGAGTAGAACTTCTCTGTTCTGTAAAATCTTTTGATTCTTTCTCTCTCGGGTCTGAGACAGAAGATGGTTTGAAATTAATAATTAACAGAAGTCCAAAAGCAAAATATACATTCAATCGGTTTCGTTTTGAGCTGAGAATTAGTTGTTGGACTTTGACGTCTTACCTTCTGCCTCCTCGTGAACAGGTTCGGAGATGGTTTCACTTTGGTCTCCATGATTCATCGCCACAAAGTTCAGTACGACATCATCAGTGTCAGTCATGAGAGAGAGACGCTTGGTTAAGCGGCCAACTAAGGCCAGTCTCTGATCACTGCTTCTGGGAACCACAAGCAAGACCCATCAAGGTTACAACACTTTTGTTTCCATTTAATGCCTCTACATTGCTCCCTGTGTGGCTGCTTTCACCAAAATTCAATAGAAAGGTCACTCTTAACTTTCTAAATCTTAGTAATGTTCAGTGTGGTGGGAAAATAGCTTAACTATTCAAAACATTCAAAGGTTTCTTTATCCTTCTCCATTGACAAAAATCAGTTTCAGTGCATTTTCCATGTATTCCAGATGTTGACACCTGTGTCAAATATAATTTCAGCTGAAACTCATTTACGTGAAGCATTTGATAGTCAGCATACCTTTGGTCTTCAACCTGATTTAGACAGGAGCTCTTCTGCTGAGGTAGAAGGTCAGAGGAAAACTGCATTATAGCAGCTTTGCGCTCAGTGTCTCTGACAGGACAGCTATCTGGAGAGCAATGGAGGACACTTAATACCCAAAACTTGTCTAAAAGGAGCACAATCTGGGTGAAACAGCTTTATCTCACCAAGTTTGCGTAGGTTGGGCATGGCATGAACCAGATAAGGGCGGTAGTTTGGGTCATTTTTGGTCAGTGGGTTAAGTCTGAGGTCCAGTTCTCTCAAAGCCAACAGCTCATACAGCACTTTCACCTCTTCAAGGGAAGGTATGCAGTTATAGTACAGGATCAGCCTCTCCAGCATTTTTAAGTGCTGCACCCCCTGGGAAGAAACCATTGAAGTTTAAGCAGGGGTTAGGCAAAAAGTTTCATTACGTTATCTATGTTTCAAACGTACCTCAACAGAGACGAGTGCATTACAGGAGAGATCCAGAGACTTCAGACGGACAAAGTTGGTCAGTGCGTTTCCCAGATGTCTAATCTTCTCCTCATACGTTCCCGGGAGGCTCAGTGAGCGGACATCAGCTGTTTAAGAAGTGTGATATATGAATAAATAAGATAACACTTAAATAAGATTACATTGCATCACCTTGATTCTGGTGCTTTGGTTTGCACCAGGTGACAGTTACTGCTACGTTAGCTGTCGTTAGCTTAGCTACCGACAAAAAGCTACAATTGTTTAACATAACAAAACATACAACGCCATGGCTTTACTCTTAATGTTTGCTACCATTTGTTCCTTCATAACGTTTTTATTAGCATGAGATAATGTTACCGAGACAGGGATGTTTTAATTGTAATCTGTCCCGTATCCATTGCTCCGTTATTGTTGTCAAACACGCAGCCGCCATACTTTTCGAACTTTTGCTGCCTTCAGGAACTGTCGGGAAAAATATATCTTCCTCTTGGCCGAGTGCATTACTGCCCCCTACTGTTTTAAAGATTACAAACCAAACATACAATTATTGTTAATCGCTTGTTTTTTTATTTATTTATTTTTGTACTTACTTTATAACGGTTTGTTGGAGACAAGCCAACAATTATTGTTTATTTTTCAACATACTGTCATAAAATAAACAAATAACATTCTGTTACTGCAATATACTACTGACTAAAAATATACTAAAAACCTCATCGTCTGTATTTTAGTTTATTAAAGTATAAATTTCAGATTTACAGCGACGTGCATACACGTTCAAGTTTATTTGTAGAACACACTCACATGCAAAAGCAATTCAAAGTGATAAAAAATAGAAAGCAATACTCAAGTTATTCATAAGACATTTGTTCAATTTAAAACTCCTATTAATTATGTAACATAGAGGAATGAGACAGATGAATGAGACACAGGGACAAGGCCACAACAGTCAGTGTGGGTTACCTGCCATGACTGGCTATTTATTAGAGCATTGTGGACAAGCAAAATTGACATATAACAATAAATAAAACAACAGGTTAGGCTTACCGGAGCCACAAGTATAACCAGCAGTCCCAGCCTCATGGAGCGAGCACAACGCATCAAGGTCTGTGTGGTGGCAGCCTGCAATCTACACACCTGCTGTCCATGAGCCTACTTGTTAGTTCTTGCCTCTTACCTGATTGGCTGTTGCCCCCTGTATAGGTCCTGGTGTCCCTGTGCCACAATTAATATTAGTCAGTAACACTACTGGCCAAAAGTTGCGATAATTCTGCTGGCAAAGTGTGAGATGTTTACGAGAATATTTGAACGCATCTTTTGGAGCCTGCGCAGTGTCCAATCCGCACTTGTCACATGTCAAAACAAACGCGCTTCTGTTCCTGCCTAAAGTTTGTTCCTCTGTGCTGCGTGTTTAGCTTTGCATTGACCTCATGAAATACAAGACAACATTCAGATACACGGTACAGTTGTATTATATAACATCAGACACATTCATCAGAAGCTAACCGACTTTCTCTGTGACCGTTAGTAACGGTAGCGTTGCTAACATTGTGGATGTTTACAGCAGTGACACTCGGTGTCAGGATCAATGGCGTCCTGTTTGGCAGAGTGGGTAACTTCATGCTCCAACATCATTTTATCTGCCACTGCACTGTACTCTTCTTATAAACTTTTTAAGGTAGGTATCACTGCATGTAGTGATATTATAATTTTGTAACTTTAATTTCTTTAGGTCTGAAACTATGTGGTTCAATCCATTAACTATGAGTCGATCTACTGAAAAATAATAAGCAAACTTTGTCTTTGTTCAAGCAAATTCTGTGGTTCATTAATTCAATTGTCAAGATTTGCTGCTTTTCCATATCAGAAGTTATAGTAAAGTGAATATTTTGGGGTTTTGGACTGTCGTTTGACATTTAACATTCTATAGACTAAATTATTATTGGTAAGTACAGTACGTTATTTGCAGCTCTAGTGTTTCTCCTCAACTTCATTCACTGCTTGTTTAAATTTTTTTCCTATTGGGTGTTTTAAAGCTAAATTCCTATATTCATCTGTTATATATAAATATATACATTTAACAGGCTGACATTTCTGTAAATTCTAATTAGAAGTTAATCAGTAAACCCAGCCATGTATTGTGTTTCTTACTTACTATTTTTCCACTGCCTCTGCATTTACCCCTCTCTCTGCAGGACCATAGAGCTCCTTCAGTAGGCCTTTTCCTGCTTGGACTCTCTGCAGCAGTTTGCATCTTGCATCCCTCCAGCTCATACCTGACCTCCCTCCAGAGAGAAGCAGAGTGGGCCAGCGAGGTTTTGGCTCCAGCGCTGGTCTCTTTCGACTTCCTGTGGCTCAGTCAAGACCACAACACAGCGCATGTTCTCATGTGTGGCTCTTGCCTGCTGCTGGGGCTGTGTGACTGGCTCTCAGCAGATGCTCTCACAGTGATGACTCGCTGCCTGGGCCTGTCCTCCTTGTCCTGCTGCCTCACAGTGTGTCTTTTTGCTGGTAATGCTCTAGGGGCCCTGAGCGGTGTGGCCCTCAGTCTGCCCTTGCTTGTGACCCCACAGGTTGGAACAAACACTTTTGCTCCACTCATTTCTCCAGCTTCCTCCGAGGGACTGATGAAGTGGTTTTTGAAAGGGACGATGTCGATAGGCTGTTGGGCCTCAACGAAGGCCCTTGGCAAGTTTCTGTTGGATGTGACTGACCGATGTAACATAGGAATTTATTAAATCAGTAAATATCTGTGTGATTAGTCAGAATCTTTGTACATGCATGTACACACACACATATATATATATATATATATACCAAGTGCTGCAAAGACAAGTTTTGCAGATACAGAAATTTAATGTGCCTAACTTAGAAGCATTCTGAGACATTTGTGAAGAAGATTTAATGTAAATTTCGCTAGAACTTAACCAATTTGTCACTTATCGATTCGTCAGTGGTCAGAAAATTAAATGGCAACAATTTTGGTAATTATTAACCAAGCAAGTGTTAATTATCAAACAAAACTTCCAATATTACCTGATCTGAACTTCTCAAATTTGAGTACCTGCTGCTTTTGTATTTGTCACATCAGTATGAATTAAATATTTTGGGCCCTTTTCCACTATTTTGTGACATTTTGTCAACTAAACAATCAAGCAAATAATGGAGAGATAATTAATAGTGAAAATAATCATTGGTTGCCACACAAGTTTCTACGCTGGAGGTCACACGGACTAAAGGATAACATTCTTTTACATTTGAATGCAACATACAAGCAATGGTAATGTTGATGAACAAAACAGTAAATTAGTGTTGAGATAAATAGAAAAAGTAATATTACGGTAACCACAATATACTAGTCATGTATTGATTCTTCTAATGGTATGTGCTTAAAATGGAAATATACAGCTTACTGGAATATACAGTCGCTGCTACAGTTGTGTCTGAACTTCATATGAATGTAATCTGAATTTAACACAGCATTAGACAAAACACACATACAACTGTGGTCACGTACTCTCATGCAAATGAGAGTACGTGACCACAGTTTATAACTGACCAGTCCACTGTGGCCTTGTGTAGCCTTTTTAGGCTTCCTGGTAGTGCCTGGTTGACATTTATTGTCATCCGATGTGAATATTTTAATGTCCTCTGTGATTGTCAGTGAATGTCTACCAGGCTGTACTTACTCTCAGGCTACTGACATCCTGCACACATCTCTCTGCTTACTGTTTTAGTGTTTCCAAAAACACCTAGCCTCAGCAGTATCTCTATTAAAATATCTGCAGTGGTCTAAGCTTTTGGCCCTGCTCTTACCTCACCATGCCCATTTGATACTTATCAGTGCACTTCTTTTTTTTTTATTACTTCCTTGGTTTTTAGTTGCTTTAATCTTGACTGAAACGACCTCATCTGTTTAACTCACCATTACTTAAATGTTGTGTGTATAATTTTGTTTGTCCACAGTGTTGTCATTGAAAGGTATTGATATTCTTTACAGAGATTTGTAGTGGACACTGCAGACTCTCTCCAGGATTTCAGAGTTGTGAACAGCTGGCTCAGCAGTTTTACTGCAGTATTTGTGCAGGCATCTGTAGCTCTGTGCCTGTCTATGGGAAAATGCCTTTGTCAAACCTCAAGGCACAGATGACTAGTGATGTTTTCAATCTAATCTAATTATGTTTACATATAATTATGGTAATTGTGTTGCCTGTTCTTTTTTATAATGCTTTATCGTTCAGTTTATGTCTTTGTGGGGGTATTTAAAAAATGTCACATTCTGTACTTTTACTTATTCTCTTATTGAATTGATTTTTGTTCACAAAAATGTTAATATGCAATAAAGGGAGATGCAGTTAACATGTCTTAAATAAATTATATGAATGTTAACCCCAGTTACTGTATGTAACTTAACATGGCATTTCAAAGATTGCTTAGCTCATGTTCAGCTGTCCAGTCACTGTGCCACTTAAAGTCCTTCATCGTCATGCAATGCATCAATATTTGCAAGTACATCATCATCATTGTCATCATCACCTGGAACCTGGCACATCTCACCCACCTGTCTCAGGCTGCTGGTATCAGCAGCCCAATCAGTCTCCATACTCCATAATTTTCACTCCACCACTGCAGCGGAGCAGGAAACTGCAGTGAGCATGCTCACATGCAGCTGCAGCCTGTGGATGGAGCAAAGTGGAGGAGGAGAAGAAGGAGGAGAAAGGGGAGGAGAGAGAGAACGATTGAGAGGGAGCCACACAGGAGCTGCACACAGCACTGGGATGCTGTTGCAGCTCTGAGAAAAAGGGATGCATGGGAAGATTTGTCATTGACAACACAGATGGACTGCGAAAGAGGAATACAAATGATGAGAATGCCAAATTATCATCACCTCAGAGAAGATATGTGATAAGGTAAAGAAGATAAAGCATTTTGCATGATGGACTAGAGTGACAGTTAAAATAGAAACATAAGAGGTCCTGGTGTATTGAGACTAGTGCTACCTTCATGCATCATTTGATTATCATTAAAACTTGAGTTTTATAGTAATATCAAGGTAAAAAAAATTTTTTTTTTTTCCTTTTCTGCTGCATGACAGACTTGAACGTGAACATTGTGTCATTTACAGGGACTCTTGGATGGTGTGGAGATGTACGCCTTCTACTCCCTTTTAGTCTACATCTTCTACACTGTCTTTAAGAGGGAAGAGGAAGAGGCATTGGAGGGAGCATGTGGAGCTTCCTCAGATGTATGTCTAGCCACATCATGTCCAGCCTTCGGGGGGTCCTTTGTCGGCAAAGCATTTTTTTATGGGGAACATGCATGCGTTACCTACTACGCGAGAGCAAAAAAAAAAGATTTATAGGCTCCCTTATAAAGGATCTCCACATTGGGAGCGTCATTGCATGTAATTGTGTGCATTTCTATGTATGCAATCTGTAAATATGTTGTGCATGTCTGACCCTCATCTATGATGCTGTACTCAGGAGCCAGGACCTGTTTCCATGGAAACAGGGAGCAGGAGGAGAGATGGCCACACCCCCAAAATGGGGAAAAAAGCTTGTGCTCGGCTTAGTGAATCAAGTGAGTGCTCAGATAGCTTATTAATGTAAAGGCTGTTCTATGATGAGTGATATGGATAGTTTCTGTTAGTGCATACATCCCATTACTCTTTGTTGTTGATGTGGTTTGTTGTCATCCAGGCAGTAGCAGTGACAGTGATGAAATGTCCCCGAGTGATGAAGATGAGGAAGATGGCCCCGACATCCCAGCTTGCACTCCTCTGGCTGCCTTTTTGTCCTTCAAACAGGAGGCTGAGAGGAGGAGGGCCTCACAAGTTCAGCTGGAAACAACAGGAAAGGTAGCAAAACTGTGTCATCACCTGATGCAGGAACATAAACTCACACTTCCCCAAATAGGAGCATCTGCAGTGTCATTAAACTTTGTGTGTGCGTGTGTGTGTGTGTGTGTGTGTGTGTGTGTGTGCGCGCTGTCTTTACTGCCCAGCTGGCAGATTCTCCCCTGGTGGCAGTGATGTCCCACTTGCTGAGTTTTCTGGAGCAGTACTCTCACTTCCAGCAGCTGCAGCAGCAGGCCGACCAGTACCGGGTCCAGCTGAAGAGACACCGTGTCCAGCACCGCCGGCAGATGAAGGCCCTGCGAGCCTCCTACCGCCAGCGCCTCAGGGACAAGAACAGCATCATCAGCAGCCTGGAGGAGGCCATCAGCCATCAGCAGACCCCCAGCCCACTGAGCGAGGGTGAGGGAGGAGGAGGAGGGTCAGAGAAAAGGAGGGGGAGGAGAGAGAGAGGAAAGAGGGGATGGGGGAGGGTGAAATTAAGGTGCAAGAAAGAGGTTTTCCCAGGCGGTGGGTGTGAGGAAGATGGAAAAACAGAGAGGTCGAGGTCGTAGTGCTGTTTTAATAACTGCACTGATTGGTCGGTGTGAAAAGAGCAGAAAAGGTCCAAGGCGAGATTAATGTTATGACACCTCAGCTTGGATGAGATCATCTGATGGATGGAGGAAGATGCATTAGGAGGACAATGAAAACAGAAGGTCACATGCTCGTCATAGTAGGTGTATATCCAGTGGGTTATGTAATATATACAAAAGCGACCTGTGGTCTTATTTACATTGGTGGAAATCCAGTCATTTTCCATGACTGTGGAATTGAGAAGATCTAATATCATGGGAGTGATCAGTCTTGAAGACGTAATTCACGTCAATGTCCAATGACTGGCTTTTTCCGTTGCTGGCTCACCCAAGATTAGATTTTTTTTCAACTGGGGACACACTGTACATCTTTTAATAAAAAGGAGAAGGCTGATTAGATTTGTGTGGGTGGTGGTGTAAGTCAAGTTGGCATTGGTGACATCACAGAGGCCAGACTAACACTGTCCAGCTGACCTCAAAGCTTTCAATGTTGGTATCTGCTGTATCTCAGACTTGACCAGGTGTTTGCTTAACCTCAGAGCAGATTAGACAAAGCTTCCAGCTCCACTCTCGGCTGCGCATCACTTTGCTGTGCATATGATGAGCATGTTAACAAGTGCATGCCTCCATGAAGCTGTAGACAGATCAGATTTCCTTTCCTCAGGCTGACCGATAGAGTCTGAAATGTGTCAATATGTATGACAGCATGCATCATAACCAGACCGGGCCATATACATCTCAGCACGTGGGTGTCTTTAAAGCACACTGACACTCAATCGTGTGCAGGACAAAGATAAATGCCTATGTGACACATGAGTGTGTGGTATTTGGATAGTGACTCTGGCTCTCTGTCATGAATAAAACATGGCTGTAAGTACTGTTTTATTCCCTGCAAATGCACTTACAAGGTCTGGCACATGCTTGGCGCCACGTGTTCTCGTGTTGGACTAAAAATAGCCGGGGGTCCATGTCCCAGTGTTACAAGGCTGTTGGCTTTGTTTGTTTTCTGTAAGGCAACGTGCAGGTCTAAGTGGAGGAGTGTTCCTGTGTATTTTCAGATGTGCAGTATTTCCATCACGAGCACCATTTGCCTGTTTTTTTTTGTTTGTTTTTTTCTACTATTATCCACTATTCAGTATTTAAGCTTTTAGAATGAATGGCTAATGCTCCATTCACTGGTCATTTGTCAAGAATGTAAAAAGAAATCTTAAGCTTCCTTTTTGTTTTATCTTTATCATTATGTTGTTCATTGTGTTCGAGCTGCTGTTTTAAAATTTACAAAGCTATCTCAGAGCCTCTGCAGACTAGAACAGCTCTCAGACTTTTCACGTTTCTTGCAAGCACGTTTCTATCAGCACTCTGGACTCACAGCTGTAGCCTCTCCCTGTATTTTTTTCTTCTTCCTGGCATCACCACCTCTCCCTGCACCACTGTGACACAGCAAACCTGACACACCGTGTTAGTGAAATTAACATAATTCCCTGCTATGAAAATCAAAGGTGACGGTGCCTGATAAATCATTGAGGTGGAGAAAAGTGATTAAAATGGTACTGGGCGTGCTGCGGAGGTTCCTGTGGAACAACAGAAGAGGTTTAGCAGGTTGAAGCGTTTTCTAAATGTGAATCTTGGTTCTGCACTTGAGACAGGCTGCACGTGATAGCCATACAGGTCTTTAGACTTGCCCTGGAGACTCCAGAGTGGAAACACGGCGATGATAATGCTAACTTAACTGCAATGCAAAGTAACTAGATGGCGTGTTTAAGTGCATACTTAATGTTCATTAATATTACACACGCTCACAAGCATTCAAGCGTACTCTGGAAAGTGGCCTTAACTGAAAAGCCTACATATAGAAAACAGGTCAGAGGAAGTTCAGAGGATATTGGTTGGTTCTATTTGTGGGTGATCTAATGTGAATATGGGTCCAAAATTTTAGAATTATTTTTTTTTGCTGATTTTGACGCAGCCAGCATTTAGGCTGGTGATGATGATGATGATGAAGATGCTGATGATAGTCTCTATTCATGTCCTGCAGGTGAGTCCAGCAGTGATGCAGGGGCACAGGCTGGGGTTCACCAGCTGGTGGAGTCTCTGTACGGCCTGCAGGGCGAGAGGAGTAAGCTGAGAGGAGAGCTCCGTCTGCTGCACTCACAGCTGGAACAGAAGGAAAAAGACCGACACTCTCGCATACAGGCCTTTCAGCAGCAGGTAGGCAGCAGCATATTTGTTAAATCCCCAGAGTTGAATCCATCCATCCATCCATCCATTATCTATACCGCTTATCCTTATGGGGTCGCGGGGGACTGGAGCCAATCCCATCTGACATTGGGCGAGGGCGGGGTACACCCTGGACAGGTTGCCAGTCCATCACAGGGCCAACATACAGAGGCAAACAATCAGTCACGCTCACAGTCACACCTATGGGCACTTTGGAGTCGCCAATGGCTGTAAGTATTGCGGAAGAGAAGATATCATCATTTCCTTCTTATGGACACATTTTCTGTACATGCATATCTTCATAAATACATTATGCCTTTCAAGTCGTGTGTTATTGTGCATATATGTGAATGTTGTGAATTTTTTATGTGACTGTGTAATCTACACTGCCATTTTGGCAAGGTATCTACATCTATCTATTCCTGTTTAAACGTTGAATAAGAAATAGCAGAATTATATAACTTCACATTGTGCTACAAATGATTGAATGAAATCGAGAGTCAAACATGTCTATATTCTCAGATCAGACCTGTTTTAGTAAACTTTTAACTGTTCTATTTCTCGCACAGATTGATGAGCTGAAGAGCTGCATAGAGGAGCGTGAGGAGGAGCTGTCGAGACTGAGAACTGCCACTGTAAGTGCTTAGCTCTGTTGATTTAATCACTCTGTCACTTTCCACGTCATCGGCAAGACTGCCACAGTGTATTCCCAAACACGCAGAATTGAAAATAGTGCTGTAAAAATGCCAAAGAAGGGTCAGCATATCTTGTGTAATAAATCCGTGATGAAAAAATATTTTTGCAATTTTGAGATTTTAATGCTGGAACTCAACCTTATATTATATTTCCTCAGGGGGCCACAGACTCAGAGAAGCGAGTGCTGTGTCTGTCGGCGGAGAACGAGAGTCTGAAACAAAGCCTGAGCGTCACTCAAGGCCTCCTGCAGCAGCTGTCAGCCATCCCCTCCCAGTCCAGCACCATGCTCATCAAGGTGAGACGCGCCCGCACAGCTGGGAGCTCGCTGATGTGCTACCAAGGCAACCATTAGCAACTGCAAACACAAATAATTGAATTTGTTTTCTATGCCCTGCTAGGAGAACGAGAACCTCCGCAGCAGAGTGCAGCAGCTGGAGATCTCCCTACAACAACGTGCTGAGCAGCTGTCACAACTGGAGCGACAGAGCGAACAGAGCGAGTGGAGGAGAGGAGAGGAGCTGAGGAAACGAGAGGATAGAGTGAGGGAGCTGCAGCTGGAGTTGGACAGAGAGAGAGGAAAGGAGCCACTGGTGAAGGTAATTCAAATACGAAAGTGTTTTTTAAATTGGTTTGAATATTAAAGAGTGGCTTTTGATCTACAACAGCTAATTAGAGAGATTTGAATATAGATATTTGTTAGCTGGAAACACACCAGCATTAGTAATAAAGGAGCCTCCTCTTTTGTACTATATATTTTTAGAGTAGATGACAATCAGATGGGTTTTTTTTTTTTCTTTCCCAGTATGTCACCCAGACTGTGGAGGTGGAATCACCTGCCACACTAAAGCAGCTGACTAAAGCCAGACAGAGGAATGAGCTGCTGTCTGAAAAGCTGTCCAATCAGAATATGCGGTGCAAACAGCTGGAGGAGCAAATCAGGAAGTCTGATGAATATAGCTGTAATCTGCAGCACAAGGTAACAAGGAGAAGCGACAGTATTCACACTAAACTAGTTTGCTGTGAATACTTATCTGTCATATCTGCTTTGAAGTGCACAGTTGTATACACACAATCTCACACACCATCTCACACACAAACACTGGCAGATTAAACTGACATCAGCATTATATACTGTATGACCTGTGTTTTTAGAAGTTAACATTTGTTTTTGAACATATCTCAAGCACGAAATTAATGTACATAAATCTTAAGGTGAATCACATGACAATAATGCTCCACAATAATAAATAAATATCCATCAGTACACGAATTATTACTCTTGGCTGCTGGCCATTAAAAAGCAAGGAAACTGGCAACAAATCCCAGATGATGAAATCGTGATGCCATCAACATCAACTCTGATTAAAAAAACATTTGAAAGAGACAGTCGGCCGGGATAAATAACCCCCCCCCCTGTTTTTTAGAGAACAGATGATCAGAAGGTAGAAGGAGAGATTTTTCACTTCACTGTTGGAAATTCACAACCTGGATCAGTTTCATTGACAGATGAACTCATTATAGAGCAGAACCTGCACAGACTGGACATGTCTAGCTGACAGATTGACAAATTGCTGCGCTGAACCTTTTACAGATTGCAGCATATGAGCGAGAAATCAGTAAACTGAGAGAGGAACTGCTGAAAGAGATTGGCCATTTGGAGGAGAGGAAGGAGGAGGCTGTGAAGGCTGCAGCTAGCTGCTCAGCAGAACACTTTCAGAACCTGCAGGACCAATTCTTCGGTGAGTTACACATAATTAAATCAGCAAAGAAAGAGATATTGGTTTCCATGCACAAGAAAAAGAAAAATGTATTTTTCAGGCTTGCAGAAGCGTCTGACGGCCCTCCCACCGACTTTACGCTCCATGAAGACAGACTACGCCAGTCTGAGGAGCCAAGTTCGAAACTTCTCAGACTTTTATGGAGCAGCTATAAACGATGCAAAAAAACAGGTATGTACTGCTGTGTTTAGGAGACAGACGTCCAACCAAATCAACAGGCCTAGTAAAAAGTTGTTGTTGTTGTTGTTTTTTTTTACTGTTTTATGTCTGTGGCAGATTACAGCAGCTATCAGTGAGATGTCCGAAGCCAACAAAGATCTTCTGGAGAAATATAGGAAAGAAGTTGCACTGCGCAGGAAGTACCATGAACAGCTGGTGGAGCTTAAAGGTATGCAGAGAAGAAGAAATATAAATTCACTGCAGAAGATATAAAATGTGTCACTGACTGGACCCCTCTGTTTTTAGGCAACATCCGCGTGCTGTGTCGCGTGAAGCCCGTGCTGAAGGAGGACCAGCATGAGGAGGGCCAGTCTGTGGTGGTGACGGCAGACCCCAACAACGAGTCCTCCCTCACTGTGCTGAACAAAGGGAAGGGTCGTATCTTTGAACTGGATAAGGTCTTCCACCCTCAGGCCACGCAGGAAGAGGTAGTGAAAATGAACGGTGTATGAGCACGAAGGAAATATAAGCGTAACAAGAACTCTAACCCTTTATTTGCTTCTGCCAGGTCTTTCAGGAGATTGAACCTCTTGTGACGTCCTGCATCGATGGCTACCATGTCTGCATATTTGCATACGGACAGACTGGCTCTGGAAAGACCTACACCATGGAGGTATACTCTCCGGTTAACAGTCGCCATAGAGTGATGGTCTGTAATATAGGTTGCAGGCTAAGTATCATGTGATTTTTCAGGGCAGTGTGGAGAACCCAGGCATCAACCAGCGAGCACTGAAACATCTCTTCAGTGAGATCGAGGAGAGGAAGGACATGTGGTCTTACACCGTCACTGTCAGTTCTGTGGAGATCTACAACGAGGTGCTAAGGTAAGCTACTCTTTTCTTTAGATAAGCATTTAGCCTTCAATATTATTTTGAGCTGAAAGAAAGTGGTTGTTTTATTGTCTGTGTTACATTTTGTTTCCCAGAGACCTGCTGAGTAAGGACGGAGAAAAACTGGACATAAAGATCAACCCGGACGGAACAGGACAGCTGCATGTGCCGGGCCTCAGGATCGTCGAAGTCAAGAGCTTTCAGCACATTAAGAAGGTGACATGTTTGGAAACAGCCCGTGCTGTTATGATTTGATGAATATTGTTCACCGTTGGAGCAAATCATAACATTGATGCTCAATATTCTCGTGTTGGAGCAGATTTTAGCCACAGCACGAAGAAACAGGATCACCTTTGGCACTCAGATGAACCAGCACAGCTCCCGCTCCCATGCTCTGCTCTGCATCACGGTTCAGGGCACTGACCTCGCCACAGGGTCCAAAACCACCGGTCAGTTGCACATGCATTGTCTCTTCTTACACAGAAAGTGTTTCAAATGCCCAACAGAAGTTCCTGCTGTAAGTTGGAATCATACTTGGTATTCCTCATCGAATGCCTCTCTGTTGTATTAAAGCTGAGGGCAGTCTAGCTATTAGTCATAATGTTGAATCAAGAGAGAGTTTGAGAGTGAAAGCAGGATGAGAAAGCAAAACACAGCTTCTGATTAGGATTCAGTCAGGCACATGAGCATCCAGAGATGGCCGTCTTCATCATTTCATCCATTACTCTGTGTTTACTTTTTTTTTTTTTCCCTTAGGCAAGCTGAACCTGGTGGACCTGGCTGGCTCGGAGAGAGTATGCAAGTCTGGTGCAGAGGGAGAGAGGCTGAAGGAGGCCCAGAATATTAACCGCTCTCTGCTGGCACTGGGGGATGTAATTCAGGCACTGAGGGCTCGGCAGACTCACATCCCTTTCAGGAACTCCCGCCTTACATACTTATTACAAGACTCTCTGGGCAAAGGCAGCAAGACTGTCATGGTGGTGCAGGTAAGATTACTCCTCCAGATTTTTTAGATTTTCAGCCTGAGACGTATGACATATTTTCAGTACACCACATTTGAAGTCTTTGTCGATGCTTGTTGTGAGACATCTTGTTTCAACTTCTCTGCTAAAGGTGTCTGCTCTGGAGAGTAATGTGGGAGAGACATTGTGCTCACTGAAGTTTGCCCAGAGGGTGTGCAAGGTGGAACTGGGCCCTGCAGCCAGGAAGATTGAATCTGGTGGAGGGCAGTGCGACTGACAGCCTCAAATCACCAGGGAGCCATGACTGCAGCCGTCAGATTATCACCCACCCTACCAATGATTCATAGAGCTACAGTTTCAACAAGATCAACAGCAATGCTGCTCAAGGGCTAAATCTGTGGAGGTCTGTGTGGCACATAAATGAAGACCTGTGATTGAGGTTAGGTATTTAGGATATTGGCCTCCACTTTGCCATTTTCCGCTTCCGACACATGATAACCCTTTATTGTTAGATAATCTGCATGCAGTGCCAAAACAACCTCTGACTCCCCCCTACGGTGTAAGATTTGATGCTTCCTTGAACTACAGTATCTCAGTTTCTTTGTATTAAATACCAAAATCCAGGATATACCATATCCTCCATGATCACCAGTGTTTAGAGCAGCATCATGTCCAGACAGGTTTAGTAAGCTTCCAGCGCCACAATATCAACACTTCCGTTTTTGCAGTATTAATCATCTTGCTATAAATGTCTGTAGTTTGTGAGATTCATCTCCAATGTTGTATATTTTTGAAGGTTTTAGTGTGTAGGAGAATCTGTTTTATAGCAAAAGTACAGACATTTCCGTGACACTGACATCACATATTTGTGTAGTTTTTGTGAACTTCAGAAAAATAGTGACTGAATTCTTTCTGTTTCTCTTTCGAGACTTGATAATTTGCCTTTTGAGTAAAGAGGAAAGTCGTTGAAGGGAGTGGGTGGCCTTTGTCCTAGACTGGTAATATAATGAACTGTGCAATATCCTCCTTATTGAGGAGACTGCTTGGGCCTATGTGGACAGAAGATGCACTTTATTGTGAAAGGAGTGTTTCAGTTCAGAACAGGTATTTAGGTGCTTGCAATAGATATCACTAGTGAATGTCATACCAGAAACAGCTTATTGTTATCTGTTCATCATCATTCCTCTATTTATCACCCACTGAATCAAAACTAACTTGATTCAAGTGTAGCAAGACATTAATGTTGCAGTAACTACCATGCAGGTCATTTCATGATGATTAGAGTCAATTTTCAGATAACTTTCTGAATAAACACAATGTATTTGAAACGTGTCTTTTTTCTCTTATTGGACGAATGATTAGTCATGCCACAAAACTGTGGAGTTCCTAGTTCAAATTCCATTGCCATTCCGGCAATTTATCTTTATGAAGATATTGATGATTTTTCTGTCAGTATGATAGCAGTAGTTTGATTTGTCAGGTATTTAATTAGATCGATAGAAAAAAAGCATTTTATCAATCCAAGTTTTTAAATTGATTTTTCCCACATAAAGGGAAAATACACAAAAATAATAATCAGGTATTTGAAAAAGTCACATTATTTTACTTGAGAAAATACAAAAATTACATTAAAAATGCACCTCAATTAACCACATATACATAATGTACTACTACATATTCATATGTAATAATACAGTGATACAAGGTAGGACTTGTATATGAAGACCTGACAGGAAAATTTACTCCCTGCAGCGACGAAACCAGCCATCTCTCTAGGCACGACACCAATGTGATGGTACAGTCCCAGTAAAGTCAGGCCATCATTGTGGTGTTCCATTCATTCACTATAGTCTTACACTGTACAGTTACATCTTGGATTCAGTCCGAGTCGCCCTCCTCCACTCCTACTGCTCCCACTGCTCCAGCCAACTCCTCCTCACTGCCTCGCAGACGATCCCCTGGACACACACAAACACAGTCAATCTGACTCACTCATTCACTGCATCCTTCAATCACGAGTTGATAACATGCACCATTGACACCTGTTAACCAAGTATCCCAGCTGCCGACAGAATAGTCCAGTATGGTGATGATATTCCACCCAGACAGTACAGGCTCAATACATAGCTGTACTGCTGTCTGAGTTTGCACAGAAGATAAAAACTAAACTGAAAGGAGTGACTGTTTGTTTGCCACTATAATCTGTTTAATGTTAGTCAATGACTCAAGAATTTTAATAACTAGATTATTATGTTAACAAAAAGAACATGTTTACCTCAACTCTTCAAGCATGTAAATAAAAGGTAACAAGTATAAACAATGTGACACACAGAGAAAACCTCCTATTACAGTTAAACCTGTTTTGTGATCTCCTGAAAGCTTGTGCCTATTTTTAGAATGTGGATCACACATCAGTGGAGGAATCAGACTGTTGATGTCATCAGGTGACTTCAAGCCTCTGTGGAGTCTGGAAACCACAAAGCAATTAGCCTAATAATTCACACCCAGCTCAGGCGCAGTTGTCTCTTCTGTCAGGAGAATTCAGCGATAAAACGGAAAAACATAAAACAAGAAATACTAACGGATGAGCTCAGCGATGGCTCTCTGTGTTCTCCTCTCCAACTTCTCCAGTTTCTTTGCCACGTCGCGCTTCAGGTCCCTCGATTCAGAATCACAGTGAAAAGACAAAGTCAGCCACAAATTATCTTTGATTAGACCAAGATTTTATGCACAATACCGACTGGAAATTTATTAAAAAAAAAAAAAGGTCTTACCAGTCTGGTTTTCTCGGGGCAAGGTTGGCCAAATCCTGGGGAAAGAAAACAACTGAATACAGCAGGCACTGATGCAACAACAAATGAATCACATTTACACTGAAGGAATTACTCACCACTTCTTCAATGATGGGCTCTGGATTAGCTGCCTCTAACTGGTCTTTAACTTTATCTTCCACTGCAAACCAAGAGAGGTTGCCATCAGTCATGAATCATGTATGATAATAGCAGCAGGAATCTGTGAGTACTACTCAAGGGGTGTCATGTGCTATGACCTTCCTGGAGGCCATGTATGATATTAACAAGGCTCTGAGGTAAGTTTTTTCAAAGCTTGTTTGTGTGTAAAGAGTTCTCACCTGATGCTGGTTTGGCTTTGGGCACCTGTCTCTCCTTCAGCTCTTCATCCTCTGGAGTGTAATTCCGCAGCTTCAGCTCTCTGACAAAAGAAAGGCAAAGTAAAGTGAGTCTGGTTTTAGTGCTGTAAACGATACATCTCTCTTATTCCCTTTTCCCACACTCTTGTGACAGTCCAGGAGGTGGCAGTGTAGACAAATATATTCCACCAGAGATTAAGGAGCATAAATGACCATCTGCAAACCCTGCACAGCTGCACATCTAATGTCTAGAAGAGGTCGGGTATAATGTCCCTCTTTATTCCTATGGACACGTCTGATTAACATGTTCCACCTGCTCCTGGGCACAGACTCGAGGAGAGCAGCTAACAGCTGAGGAATTCTTTCCTTGATGTTGAATTACGAAGTCTTTCATCACGTCTCTGCACAGAGGAATTCTTGGCAAGCCTTAACTGACATCTATGCAGATTATACAGAAAGTCCAGAGGCAGAGGTAAACTATTGTCTGACTAAACGCACACCAAGAGAGTTATCAGCTGTTCTGAGCTTAACATGGATTTGTGATGAAGCTTGAGAGTGTACACTCTTGATACATTCATCACACTCCTGCTGCCAATGGACAGACCGATGCCTTGTATGGGTACGGGCAGGAATGCTAGTCATGTTCTGCCTGTGGTTGACCGAGGTCCACTCTTAGTCCACACATCTCTCCCTCTCTTTATCTGCCTCCTGAATATTTCCCAGAGACTGTTTTAGTGGGGAAATATGTCATTCTATCCATCTCACCATTAAATTGAATTCTCATGCCACTTAAATGCCCCTGAAAATGTCTATCATCTACTCTCTGTTTGTCTAAAAGCTACACACAGCTCTGCTGTATGACGACAAAAAACACTTATCTGGAGAGAAAATGTTCTGTGCAATTAAAATATGACTTTAATTGAAACACTGTTACTTTAATAAAACTAATGTAGAAAACAACAGAGCTAAATCATATCACCTTTTTTTGAGTGTCAAATTTGAATTAAAAGATTTATGGGTTATGCCAACTTTAGTTTCAAATCTGGTCAGGGACCATGGTTGTATGTCATCACTTCTCTCTCCTCATTCTCTGTCACCTCACTACTATCAAACATTCTAATAAAAATGTCCCAAAATACTAAACTAAAAAAAGGTTCTCCCTCCGGGAAGCATGGATGTGTTTAGTAAAGTCTTTGGCTACATTATTCGGGATAATGTTTGGATATTTTTGGTATAAGGCTGGTGCTTGTACAAAGGGTTACATGAATGTAGTTGCAATTTTGCCATTATTTGTCATCTGTACAAAACTGATCATTTAGCCTAAAGATAGTGTTAGAGAAAAGAAAAAATGGACGACGGTCCTCTGAGGAGCAAGTTGTAGTGCAAACTTTATGATTTTGACATTACTTATACAATTGTGGCACAAAAGGTAAAGTCAAGGGGTGATCGTAAACATGAAGATACATCATGAGGCCATGGAGATCACAGCAAATGGATATTGCAATGGACAAGTAGTGCTTGTCCAAAATATTTTTAACTGGATTGAGTGAGGCAAAAGGTCAAGGAAAGTCACCCACATCATTTGGATGATATTCAAACTTAATTTTTACGACATCCTGGTCAGTAAATGTCAAGATATTTTGTTATAGACCAAAGGCACAGACGGGCACACAAATAATGAATGACATCGTCATCTTAAGTGCCGCCACAAAGACAGGATTAACAGACTGGATGTGTAAATTTTCCATCCTGTGTCAATGTTTGACATCCTACCTTTATTTTTCTTAACTGTCTCTCAATTTGATGCGTCCAAACCTTTCAAGTGTGTTTACACATTTCCACTTCAAGCACAATGTGGCATCAAAGAGAGCCAGTGATAAATTCAGAGCACTGACCCAAGTGTAGCCCTCTCAAAATGTTTAGAGCGAACTGAGACTGAGGAGGAGGTTTAGCAGAGTGCTCAAATGTTTACACTGATATCAAGGTACCTGGCCCATTCACCACTGCAAAAATAACTCCAGCCTTTCCATTTACAAGAGCCACAGAAACTGTAAGTACTAATTTAATATTTCAGAGGCTTTAGAAATTCCATTTGTCTTATTGGCCACCTCCAAGGATATGAAATCTACTAACAGCAGCCCTAACACACCTGCAAGATGTAACAGGAAAAGCTGCATCATGCTGTTGGGGCCTTTTGTGAAATAGCCTTGAAGGAATGTATAACAAACAGGAAGCTGAAAACCTTTCTGCACAAGATTTATTTTCACATCTCAAACCTGTGAATCTTTCACTAATTTAAATAGGAATAACATAAGGACTAACATGCTGATTGTTTTGTTCTTTCATGCCTTGGTTTGGGAATTTGATCTGCCATGAAATTTTAATACCAATCACAAGATACATTACAGGCACATCTTGCTACAGATGTGTTTCTTAACTTGGCAAAACACAGATAAAAAAAACATTCAGTACATTCAGCACTGATCTTTTCTTTCTTCACAGATAAATGTCTAAATTGGACTCTTAACGTCTGCTGCTATTTTCGTTCTCCCAGGAGAGATCTGTCCTGTTGAACTGGAGGAAATACAGCGGCACTCCCTCTGTGCCGTCAGTGCACAGTCATTAAATATAAACAATGGAAAAACGGACAGGAAAGATGGCTGCTCTTCCTGCCGACTAATACACAAAGTTGAGTGAGCTGCAGGATATTTGAGCAGCTAATAGCACGAGGCTGTGATCCAGCCAAGTGTAAACACTGCAATTCATGACCTGCACTGACATATTTTCTGTGTTACAAGAAGATCGTGGTTAGATAAAGGTAAAGATTAATGTTCTGGTGATGGACTTCTATATCAGTTTCAGTTCCGTTTGTGATGCTTAAAAAGCTTCAGCTAAAAGGGGCGAGCAACAGGGTGTGAATAAACTGTCACATGCCTTTATGAAAGAAACAAAAGGACAAGTGGAGTGATGAACTAACCTGTGCCTCTCCTCCGTAGTCTCCTCTAATGAAGGTTTTTTCTCCTCTGGCTCCCCATCTTCCTGCTCTCTCCCCTGTTAGAAGATCATCACACAATCATTGAAGTAACTTGACTTTACTATATGGGATTCAACAGCATCACTACAACAGCACTAAAACTAAACTATCTAATGCTGTATTCTGCCACAAATAATAACTTAAAGAAAATGTTTATGGCTGTTTTGTTCTTATTACAAAGCTTACACCAAGGGTGACATGAAGTGTGATGGTGGGATGACACAAAGCCTACAAGATGACCCTAAAACAAGTTTTGTAAGGTATGCTTTAGGCCATTTTAGATCTGGCACACTAAAGATACAGTTTATACATCAGGCTAAAATTTGCATAGGACAACAAAATAATAAAACATCAGTGTTTTGTGTTGGCCCATCATTTGTGAGTCAAATAACAAATTTACATTTTGAGCTTGATTATTTCTGACACAATGTTATTTAGGATGTGTAGTTTAAGAACTTTGGGAACTAACAAATAAATTAGGAAAACCAGGTTGCTGTTCTGATAGTCCTGGACCAGATGGTCCAGGACTATCAGTAAAAACCACAAAAGCTAACATGCTACCTGAACAACAATTACAGCATTTCATAATGAGGCCTACGCAAAACTATACACACGTAAACAATGGGGAGAACAAATAATGAAATGTACTTGCAGAAATCCAGAAAAAAAAAAAACATAATGTTGACCTTGAGAAATTGTAACAAAGGATATCGAACCCCTCCCATCTTACATTTTCCTGAAGAGGCTTCCTGTCCACCTGCTAGAACAATTCAGAGGACTGACTCATTCTTGAAGTGCAGTACAAAAAGAAAATAACCCCAAGCTTCAGGAATGTCAGCAGCCGTTTATCAAACATTGCTAGCCAAGCCAGTATGCTTCTGTTCAACAACAGCTTAGTGAAACATGTTCTGGTGTAAGCAGTCAGCTTACACATTGAACAGGGTTTCCTGTTGCAAGAACAATTCAGATTCATAACTGTAACAATGTCATCGTGGAGCAGAATAACTGTGTGATGTTCACATACTTCACCACAGATAGCAGGAGCCCTGCTGAAGCCTCACTGAAGCTCAGGTGCAACAACCTGCTCTCAGAATATGTGGGTCAAGACCTAGGGTGTGTGTTGATATGAAAATGTAATATTGTACAATTATCATGGACAGATTAGCCAAGCATACAATATAATTTTCATAATAACTGATAAGAACTGTCAATCAACTGTTACACATGCTTTAGATTTAACTGTCTAGTGTGTGGCAGTGGCCACAGAGAAGAGTAGTAGACATTTTTTTTGTGTGTTGCTGTGTTCTTTAACAGATTCTAATAGTTTTTTTCTCTGCATCGTTCATGAAACTGAGGTATCTCCATACTTCCTACAAATCCTCCTTTACAAAAGAAAAAGTTGTGTCTTTTTAGTAAAATTTCTCCACCTTCTACCACAATAATCGTGTTTTCAGTTTCAGGTGGTTTCAGTTAGTTATTATTGTTTTCAGCGTCACAATGTCGTAGATGGTTAAGACGTTTTCAAACATCCTACTCTGTTGGGCTTGTGTGGGAAAACACTCTAAACAACCAATTTAGTGAAATTACTTTGTGAAACAAAGTTGCAAATATAATGTTACATTCTTCAGAAATTACCCGATTAGTGTGACCAGTGTTCCATTATATTCCAAGAATTTTAGAATGCTATATGTCTTGTTTAGATAAGAGAAACTGCTTTTGTCATTAAACATCAACAAGAGACACATTTCCTTGCATAAACACAAGGTCAGAGCTCTTATCCCTGCAGCCCCCGTCTATTCTATACCTCTGATAGTCAGCAGCCCAATCCCAATGTCCACTCCCACAGACTTGGAGACACGTTCCCTGTAAATTCATGAGGGTTTAGGGCTGTACCACTGTCAAACCATCAAGGATATGAGGGCTCTCCAGCAGACATTTTGAGCCCTTTATACACACTTTCCATTAGTCTGCATTTCTGCAGACTTTGCCTGAGAGAATTACCAGAGACAGTAAATGACAGTATAAAAACAAAGCCCACTGGTGATTCAGAGCCAGAACTGTGTAGTTATTTGTCCTATGATGACATGATGATGAACTCCAAATACCAAAAATGGACCAGATCTGATCCAACATTGTATTTTTTGCTTACCAACAGGGAGCAAAGGGAGGGAATAAAAATGTACAATCAAAAGTCCCAAACCCACAATTGAATGCAAATGCTTTGGCATCATCAAGGTAACTTGATATAAGTGCTTTCACATTCCTCTTTGTACCATTTTCAGCCCTTGCAGCCTCGCGCGCTCAAACACTCACCAGGTGATGTCAATTAAGTCTGTGAGGGTTCAGGGCATAGGGCTTGGGGTGTTATTAAGGCCTCACTGTTCAATGCACTATAGAACAACCAACTCAATGTCTTAAATACAAGGAATTACGACTGCAGTTCTGGCCTTATCAAACCTGAGATACATTTTCATTGTCATGGCAGTTAAAACAAAGTTATAAACACAATGAAACCTGTACAGGCACAAAACAGAGGGGTAACCACGGATGCTAATTTAATAGGATCTTTACTATACTTTATAAACGAAGACATTAACTTTTGCTACATGATTAGCTCATAAAGGTTAGCTTCGCAAATTGGCCCCATGGGCAAAAGTGAATGACTAATAACTACAACTACTGCTATAAAAGCAAGTAAATTTGAACTAGATATCGATTAAATATTTCTTTTCACATCAACAGATCAACGAACCAAGGTTAAGACCAATTTGCTACATTAACCGTGCTAACGTTAGCTGCAAGCTAAGTCGGCTAACGTTACCTCACTAACAGTTTGACGCGTTTTCTACAGGCTATGTTGCATTTATCATAAGCTAAACATCACGAGACACGTAACTTACATGAAGTTGTTTATCTCTTAGTGCCTTTAGCCTCTCTTTTCTCTTGAGGGCCTGCTCCTGAAGTGACCCAACATTTCGCTCCATGTTTGTCGTTACACGCCGCTCAATTCTCTCTGAAACCCATTAGTTGTCCTGACTGAGGATGTAAAACGACCGTCGAGCACATCGATTGCAGTGGCCTGTTGCCTCATCATGTGATATTGTTTTGTTTTGTTTGACTAATTCCTTCAAAATCAGTGATTAGATTAATAGAAATTTAAACATTATTATTTAAAAATAAATCTTTAGGTTATGAAGATTTTAAGCACAGATAAGTTTCTATTGGGGCCTATTGGATGTATTGGCACATGGACATCTTCAATGCTTCAGTTGATTTAACTTTCAGTAGCTAACAGGCTTTTTTTAAAAGCCTATTTAAACCTACTTATAGACTGTGAACAGGCCTATATATTAAAGTAAATAAAGATCACACGTGGGACAGAGTGGCACACTGTCCCGCCTGTTGATGGTCACACTGTCAGGTCCTGGTTAGGAATGTAGGCCATCTCCATGGTAATACAGCTGCCTCAAGCTTCACTGTGTACTTCCTCCTAATGACCGACATTGGTGTGTGACAACACAAACCTGTGTGTGTTCAAGATGTTATAAAGGTTAAATATCATAACACTTATAAATCAATAAATTACCCATAACTAACTCCTGCTATAGATTACGATACAGTCTCTCCCATAGCATATAGGAGAAGGATATCTACTGTAAACTACCCACAGAGTATAACAGGACAAACTGCATGTCCAGAGATGAAGTGCATTTCTTTCTGCTTAAGCGTAATGTTGAGCAAGTGAAGCCTTACCTGATATTTTACATGCATAAACATGGCAAACACATGATGAAACTAATAGAATATGTTGCATTAGTGAATATCCTCCAACAGTATACCGCATCAATAACTAGGCTCATAAACCTCTTGCAAGAATTGTGTGTTTATTATTCAATTTATTTAAAATAAATACAAATGTTTGTACTTCAAGAATAATGTGATGTTTCTTCTCAGAGAATTTAAATGTATGAGAAGTGTGAAATGTGAAGACCATCGGGTTACAGTACATGGAGTTAGACCCGACACCACCAGATCCATCTAAAACATTCCAATACTTCTTATAAGTTAAGAGGGACAATTCTTCAAAATTAGCTTTTTTAATTTTGATGTGTTACATTTTTACTGGATACCTTAAATGCAGGAAAATTACTAAGTTATATTCCCTATTCCCTTTTATTTTCAGTATCTATCTGAGTAGCACTCCTTTTATCAGTGGAGGTGTCTAGGTGTAAACTGGTTTATTGTTTAACAGTCTTCATCAGGTATATAATATAATGATGTGCAGTAATTATTTATAACAGCCCACAAAGGCACCAGGACCCATCAGAAGGAGCTGTTAGAGTCTGAAGTTCAGCTGTTTGTTTGGTTGCCTGTCTTTATGTTATCAGTGCTGAATGTTGCTTGCCGTACAAAGTGACAGCTTCTTTCCCCCCAGTTTGCTTCTTTCCCCTTTGCAGAAATTGCACATGACAAGGTTTAATACAATAAAAAAAGTGATAATTTGCATATAGGTTTATGAAGAGATTTTTTTAAATTTACCTCTTTTAATTGGCAGATTTTACTGAAAAAATACATTTGACTATATATTAGTTAATGCATAGGCTCCTGACTTTCCTTAGTCACTCAGAGGAGTCCTGTAGATGTAGCTGTGTGTGTGTGTGTGTGTGTGTGTGTGTGTGTGTGTGTGTGTGTGTGTGTGTGTGCATGTGTGTGCGTGTGCGTGTGTGTGTGTTTGTGTGCATGTGTCTTTAAGAATATCAGCCTACCTGTGAGCATGATCTACAGCCAACTCTTCACTGTATTTGTTGCCTTGTTAATAGAGTCAGACACCAGTTGATGGTCGCCTGCTCCTGCTCGTCACACACCACACAGAGAGGACTTGCCCACATCCATTGACTGAACGCGGTAGCGGTCATTTTCGGTCTCGGTCGGATGGCATCTGTCGCTTCCGTGGGAACTCTCTCCAATAGGAATCATACAGCAACAAGCTCGCTCTAAATGCGGACATGGGTGTTTCTCCAGACATGCATCTCCACGCATTTTTGTTCCTGGTTTCACAGTTTCGACAGTGATCGCACCGTGGTCACGCTCACACCGTCATGTTTTGCTCCTTTTCCACGCCACTCTGATAACTTTGCGTGTCGAGGAGGAAAAAAGCACTTTTGTGCGGATTACTGTGCCCGAATTTGCAGGAATGGTTCACAGGAGCGTGCCGCGTCCTCCACCGCCTACTCCACCTCCTGCCTTTAGGAAACTACTTCAAACAGCCCTGGCTTTGACCATGCTTTACACTTTGATGCTTTTTTAAAAAACAAACAAACAGAAAAGGCAGATAATGAGCAACCACAAGGGCGGCGGAATGGCATCGAAGGAAAGGCTGTATGAGCTGTGGATGTTATATTACACAAAGGTGAGTGCAAGTGCGGAAGCCCTGACGGTGACACCTGTTGTCGCAGCAGGTCCTCCGCCTAAAGTTTATAACATGAACCCGATCGACACATGATCGCAGTCTGTGTGATGTGTTGTGTGTCCTATCTCTGTCGTTTGTTGGAAACGGTTTATGAGGAAGTCGCCTGTGTTGTCTTTTTTGGGTTTTTTTTGTTGTTGCCTGTTTGTACAGCAGCTGTTTGTTTACCTAATGGTGGAGGCTGCCCTGTGCAGACCACAGAAGGATACCATATCATGTCTTATAACTGTGTCACTGAGCCATTTAACCTGTTGAAAGCAGTCAGTGGTGAGGGTATCTGAAGCTTAGTGAGGCGTGATTAATCCTGTACCTGCGATGCAGGTGTTACTGAGGCTACTTCCTCTTCCTGTTCTCCCCTCCTGTCTCTCTCCCTTAGTTGAAGCGTGTCACATTCTTGCAGCATAATGGGATTAATATGTTTCTATATGTCATGGAGCCTTGTGTTATTGTTAAGAGAACGACCATATTCTCACTTATTACTTTGAACATTTGTTTTTGTTTTGCTCCCAGCAGCAAATTTCCTCTATGACTCACATATTAAATAAAAAAAACAGTATTGCATCTCTCTGTGGTGAGAACGCTTAACCTAATTTGACACTATCCTAAATTGAGTGTCAAACTGTTTTATGTGGTGCTTTGGTCTCAAATGTTTCACCCAGTGGGTGCAACTGCAGCTCAATCCCCCGGTTGTTCGTTAAAGTACAGCATCTTAGTAATAAGAATGAAAAGACGGTCATGATAAGAGGTTATTGCACATGGTTTCCATGTCACGCCTCTTCTTGAAGGAGGAAGGCCGTGTGGCTGTGAATAAATTAAGTATTACTATTTAATGTGTTTGCAATCTGCTTCCTTGCCCGAGGACAGAGAAAAACAAGAGAAGGCTTCTTTCCAAGTTTGCATGTACTGTATGTTCACTGTGGGTGACAAAGACTCCTCTCCTACCATCACAGCAGACCTGCTGTCTTGACATGGATAAAGTCTAGTCGTGGACATTTTTCATCATCTCATTGAATTTTGTTTTAATTCAGGACTAGTCTTAATCCCAATCTGGGTAAACAGACAGAGTCTTTAAAAGAAAGGGCAGAAGTCAAAGATGGAATAATTTCAAAAAATGCTCTAAAATGGAGCAGTGACAAAAGTGGACAAGAAGTGCATCGCCTCTCGCTGCAGCATTTACTATCAAAGTGGTCATTGTGGTCACTTTGGGCAGATCCCAGAGGAAGTGTGTTTCTAATCCACCCAGTTACTTCTCCTCTGGGCTGCTGCTGCTCGTACAAATCTAGATTTGCAAAACGTTCTCAGTTATGAAACAAAAAAAAAAAAAAAAAGTTGTAGGTGCTGACACAAGTAATCCACTGCTAGAAAGAGTCACTGGTGTGTGTGTGTGTGTGGGTGAGTGTGTGCCCTGAATCTGACTTGACAGCTGTGTAGCATCTCTATGTAAGAGACCACTTCCTTATTAAGATGCCTCTTGGCTCTAAAAGAAGAAAGTTTAAAATACTTTCTTTCTCTCTCTCCCTCTTTTTTTTTTTTTAAATTTACCCCAGAGAACGACACGCAGATTTCCAAGCTTTCTTGGATGCAGATTTTGCATGTGTGCAAATGACCTGCTCTTATTGCCGAGCAGCGAGAAAGGATGGCTGAGGAAAGTGGTTTAACTGAGCCCAGTATTAAACGTCACCACCTTATGTGAATGAGAGAAACACAATAGGTTGCAGAAAGGCAGCAGAACCACTTCAGGGAACAAACACCTGCCTCTCCTACAGACGTCAACTGTATGTGATGTTTTTGTTGTCTGCCTGTTAATCAAGTCAACACAGACAACAGCTTCTTTTTCTTTTTTTTCCTTTTTTAAAACTGGACACATCCCATCTTCACACCACAGGCCTTATTTTCAGATGTAGGTGTTGGCTAGTGCAAATCGGTCAAACTGGAAAAGAGACCTGAGCTCAATTTAATAAGCTTTTTGTGTGTAAACAAGCCTTTACTTATAGAGGCAACAGCCTGACACTTTCTGAATGAGTCACATCAAACACGCCCAGGCAGCTGTTTTACACCCTGTAACAGATCTGAATTCATGTGTAAAACTATTTTTGTCTTGTGTGTCTCCGTTGATAACACTGTTTTTCCTCAGACTTCTTCCTATACTTGCTTCAGACTGTTTTTTTTAGAATCATCTGTATGAAATCCTAATATGATTAGTGCACCTTCACTCAGAGTTTACAGTCTATAGTGAAGCTGCGATGAGTCAGAACAATTGAGTCCAACATTTTTGAGGACACATGTCAGCCATCGCTCAGTATTTGCAATATGAAAGCTAAGCTTGCTCAGGCTTGTTGGTGATAAAGGAGCGCTGCTTCCTCCGATTGTGCAAGAAGTCACACACCCTTTGCAAGACTTTTTAGATCAGCTGAGGTTCAGGAATGATGTGAAATTTTGAAAAGCCATTGTGTGTATAGAAGTGTCTACTATATCTTGTGCGAAAAGTTCTTCCAACATGAGACACTGTCAGTACAAATGACCAAATGAACAGGCAGGCA